TACATGGAGATCTTCTGGGAAACCAAGCCATGAATTCGAGTTTGTACTAACCTAGCCCTCTGGAGGCCACATCGGTAGCAATCAGAATAGGAGCTTTTCCATGTTTGAATTCTATAAAGACAAGAATAATTATGAATGCAAGCAAATAATGTTATCAAGCTACAAACTAATCACATCTTATTTGAAACACATACCATTTAGAACCCAGTCACGTTCCTGCTGACTCTTGTCACCATGGATGCCCATAGCAGGCCACCTATATTAGGAATTAAATTATTATCCGTACATCAAACTTAAAACTCTAACCAAGAATCTACCAGTCTTTAATCCCCCACTGCACTTCATCTCGATCAAGTGCTCTCTTGCTAAATATGAAAACCCCGAGACTAAATCACTGTCACTGGAAAGAGTTCACATAACTACGCCCACATCATAGCACATGATTCCCAAAACACTCTTCTGATCAAAGTACTTTTGCCTTTTCCTAAAGTCTGCTTTGATTTAGGAAACCACATACCCATCTCTCCTCATTTTTCTGGTAAGTTCATCACATCTTCTTTTGGTTTCAACAAAAACAATGGTTTTATTCTCCTTCTCACTCATGATCTCTTCCATCAGCCGAATAAGTCTAAAGAAGAAAAACTCATCATTTTTAAAAAGATAAAAAAAAAAATCAAATCAAACCACAAACCCTTGTTTTTGTGCTTAGTGAATTAATTGACCATGTATCAACATAAAAGTCAATGACAAACCCACTAAGCCACCACATGCACAACTCCTGAAGGACAGATTCTCATAAACTTTGACTGGTGTACCATTCTGTGCATGCTTGTGCAGTGAGTGGTCAGGGTCAAAGTCTTGCTATATATATTCCCAACAGTTTTTTAAAAAGAACACACAGCACACTACCTAAATTTTATTGAGACAACTTTCAAAACAGATTACTCTTGTATAAGCAAGATTTTCTCAAATTGTTAAACTTACTTTTCATCCTTTTCAACATCATGACATACATCCACAATCTGAAGAATGTTATGGTTTGCACTCAGTTCCAGTGCACCAATATTGATATGGATATAGTCTTTCAGGAAATCTTCAGCAAGCTGTCTTACTTCTTTTGGCCAAGTTGCACTCCACATTAGTGTTTGCCTATCAGGCTGAAGATTTAGGGAAATAAGTTAGACTTCAACCCTAAGAGCAAACTTAGAACTGATTTTTATAACATAAGGACACTTACTCTTATTTGATCCACAATTTTTCTTATTTGGGGTTCGAATCCCATATCAAGCATCCTATCAGCTTCATCAAGGACAAGGTAAGTTGTTCTTCTCAGATTGGTTTTCCCACACTCTAAAAAGTCAATCAGTCTTCCAGGTGTTGCAATACAGATCTCCACACCTTTAATTAAATGAGTAAAAAGGAAGGAGTAGATGTAACTATAATATCTAAAACTTTCATCTCTATAAGTGACAAAGAGCTCCCTTTATGGTCACATACCTCTTTCCAAATCACGAATCTGTGGTCCTTTGGGGGCACCACCATAGATGCAAGTAGACTTCAAGCGACAAGCTCTACAATACTCAGCAGCGACTTGCTGCACCTGCTGTGCCAGTTCTCGAGTTGGTGCCAGCACCAAGCACTAAGTTTGAAAAAACAGTGTTTAGTATAAATCAGTTTACTAAGATGCTATTTCTTTATGTGTTGGGAATTGGAATTTAGATGGTCACAAGATTTTTTTGAGACAGGGTCCCCTGTCATTCAAACTGGCCTCCATTCCTGGATTCTCCCAAGTTTCTACCTCCCAGGTACTGGAATTATAAACACGGACTATTTATGCTCAGGATAAAGAAACACTGGTTTAAGAAAACTCTTTGTGACATTTATTTTTTGTGTGTGGAAGCAAATGTGGAAACCAGACAGCAACTTTTTAAGTTGGTCTCTCTTTGTGGCAGTTTATCAGGCTTCATGACAAGCATCTATTATTGTATTGACCCATCCAACTTACTATCTTTGGATAATTTTAAATGGCTAGTTTATACTGGCAGGCCCATTTTTCAGCTATATAAAACAATCAAAGGAATTCCAGCAAATAGGGTTGGAAACGGAAGATAATACTTACAATAGGCCCATCACCTCGCTCTAGGAATGGCTGGTGGTTTATGTGTACAATGGCAGGCAGCAAATACTATTGAAGAGTAGAAAATAGAAATTGGATTAAAATAGAAATAGTCAAATTGGATTAAAATAGAAATAGTAAAAAAAAAAAAAAAAATCTACAGGTCACCTCTCCCACAATTTATCAAATTTCTCCAAAACTTACAGATAATGTTTTCCCAGATCCAGTCTGAGCCACTCCAACCATATCCAATCCACTGAGAGCAACTGGCCAGCCCTGAGCTTGAATAGCAGTGGGTTCAGTGAAGTTCTGCCTTGCAATCACATCCATGACATTCGCTGCAACCAACAATACCATTTTAACAAATTTACAGGCAAATAAATAGGGGAAAAATAAAAGGAGTATGAAAATCAGTCCTTACCAGGAAAGTTTGCTTCATAAAAATTCAGAACAGGTTTTGGACAGTTGTGACCTCTAACTGTAATTTCCTTGCTTCTTCTGTATGTATCTACCTCTTGCTGAAAAACAAATGACCTCGTTTCAGATTTCAGCCAGCTATACTGCAAAGTTCCCAAAAGCTCAATAGCAACTTTTAAATATACTCATTTCTAACAATCTGGACCCATAAATGAAAACTCTAGCAATAAACTCCTTTATAGTACACATTAAAAAAAAAAAAAAAAAACCCAGACTAAACAAACAAAAAAAACCCCACCGAAACACTGTGTATGTTCGAGACAAGTCTGTCTATGAAGCCCAAATAGGCTATGACTAGCCTGTTTCCCCAGTGGCCAATACACAAGAAAAATTCAAAGGGAAGTATACCACTCCCAAATGAAGAAGCCACATTTAAAGTACTCACTGCGGTGCGCCTTGCCAAATCAGGGTGTTCCTGATAAAAATTCTTCTCAAATTTGGGCAGCTCATCAAGATTCCACTTCTTTTTAACTAGTTTCTCCCCAGGATTTCCAAACTTCTTTCCAGAGAGGGGTCCTGTTCTACTCCCTCCAAATCGAGGTGCACCAAACCTACATACAAAGAAAATTTAGGTACACTGTGAAAGAGTTCTACATGAACAGGTTTGTCTACACATTTCATTTAATGCCTTTTGGTAAGAGCCAAAGTGTACTTCTTGGAATCCTTCCCAACTGTCATTCTACCGACAGCCACAACTGGCAGCGTTTCTTTTCTCAGGTCCCATGCACACTCTACTGAGGCCAAAGAAACAGCGTGGGTTTATCAGGTCGCAAACTGCCCAAACGTCTGAAGTTCAGATTACAAGGACAACAGCTAGAGAGGCTCCATCTTCTCTCCCCACAGAGCTTAGGAATTAAGTGTCTAGGAGCTGAGCAAGAAGGGAGGAGCTTAACAAGGTTATTTTTCCACTGTTTTCATCAAAGGATCGGATCTTAAAGAAATAACGGGACCGCGCAGGCATCGTGAGCGGCTGAAGGAGGATGGCACCGCGGGCAGGGGAGAAAGGGGCACACGCGCCAGCGAGCCGCGAACGGCTGCAAATCAAGGTAACAAAATTATATAACGCGAGGGAGGAAAAAGAGGAGGAGTCCACGGCAACCGGGGGAGGAGTCCCGGCCCGGGCGGCGTTCCCGCTGGGGCGGCGCTTCCTTCTTTGTCTCGCATTTCTCTCTGCGCCACATTTTCTCGACGCTGCCATTTTGAGTTCCTCCGCCGGGCGGGGTAACAAAGGCGCCGCCGCCATGTCCGAGGCCGGCATTTTGTGGCTGCGGCTCAGCCACATGGCTGAATCCGCTGGCGTAGGCCACCCTACCGGGCACAGACGGCCTCGAAAGAGCCCCTTCCTTTCCCCTGGGATATCTGGGGACCCTTAAACAGCCAACGAAAGGTTGCGCAAACAACGCCCGGAGCCGCCTCAAAGGCGCGGCGCTTCCCTACCTAAAACACTCCTCCGGGTTTTACACAACAGCCGCGAGGTCGCCGGGCCGCCACGGGTCCCGGGCCGCCCAAACAAAAACCAAGGTTGGACCCAATTACCAGAAGCGTCGCCTTTAACGGCTTTTAACCGGATGTAAGAAAAAAAAAAAAAAGCAAGGCCTCCTTCCACGAAAAATCTAAGGGTCGGTTGGAAAGCCGAGCTTCGGCCGCGTCGCTCTCCCATCCCCCACCCGCCCTGACAGGTCCCTTGTTACACTCACCCTCGATCCCGGCCGCGGTCTCGGTCGCTAGAATAGCTCGACATGGCGTCAATGGTTGCGGTGTGCGGGAGGAACCCAGTGAAAGAGAATCCAGTTGCGACGAGTCGCTGAGAGAAGGCCTCGGCGACGGCGAAGCCTTTGCGGGGGCGTCACCAGCGGAGGGACGGCGGTGACGACGGCCGGAGCTGTAAACCCAAGGACCGATGGAAATGAATGAGGTGCCGGCTGCGTCCCGGCAGCCGGTTTTATAGTCTGGACCGCCTCCTCGCCGCAAAGGATGCTGGGAGCCGCTCTATGACCTAATCGCCCCGCCCCCTGGCTCGGAAGGCCTCAACGCCCGCTGGCGTTCCGGAATCCGCCATGTTCTCGCCCCTCCCCCAGCGGGCGCTCCCTCACAGGCGCCCGTTTATTACTCGCTTCATGACTGGCTGACACGACTAGAATGCCTCGTCCCACACCCTTTTGACTACACCACCTTCTCGTCTTGCTACACCTCAAACAAGCTGCTTCCCCGTGGCCAGCCCGTCATTAAAATGGCCAGCACCAGCCATCCCTCTGTCTCTACTTGAAGATGTTTACGTCTCCAGACTCCCCCACGCCCATAATCAAAGAAGACGGGGAGGCGGAGCTTGTCGTTGTCACGTGATTGTACCCTGGGCAAGGCGGATCGCACTACTTCCTCGCTTGGTATCGGCGGAGGAATACAGATCCACAAACTCACCGGAAGCGCGGCTCCAACGCCCCCGGGAGATCGGCCGGGCTGCTGGGTGACCTGGCTGCCCTGCCCGCCGATCTGAGAGCCCTTAAGCGGGATCTTGTCCGCGGGGAATGGTATCTGGAGCCCGCAAACTGCCGCCTAAGCGCGTGCTGTGAAAGGAAGTGCTTCTCTGATGACCAATCAGCGGCGAGAAGCCGTTTTAACGTCCCTCCCTCTTCCACCCCTCCTTCCCCGCTCTCTGGTTTCTACCCCCTCCTACTCCCTTCGGCTCTACCGGGTTCGACCCTTCCTGGACACCGTCGTCCGCGTTCTCGTCTTGGAGTCCGGCCGCGACCTCTTTTGGCAGTATGGCCAGCTCAGAGGCTGGTGAGTCTCGGCCTGGAGCCCTAGTGTTTTTGTACTGCAGCATTCCTCAAGCCTCGGGCTGAATTTGAACCGTGTCTGGGCTGCTGGAGAGGCTCGTGACTGTTGGACACTAGTTGCAGTCGCAGGGGATCTCTGAATTTAGGGTCTCAGCCTCGAGACCACTTGCGGTTTCCAGGCGTGGAACTGAGACTTAGGATGAGACAGGAACTCTTTGATGAGGCTGGGATACCCACATCCTGTCTTTACATGGCAGTCAGGATCCTTCTTAGATCCGAGTTTCTATGGGGTATCTAGCCACAGACCGTCCCTCCTTCCCCTTTGTTTGTGCTAAGGCGGAACATCTTTATATTGATTTTTCTCCCCCTTTGAGATATAGCATTCATAAGATCTTTTGATGCCCTCTAGAGTAACTGGCTTTGTCTAGTACTGCCTTTGAAAAGCCAGTTGATTTGGTTGCCTAGGACGCTTTCCTCTTTATTTCCAAGACAGCATACAAAATGGTTGTCATGGCTTGCTTGGTCAGCTGTGCGCAATGGGCATCGGGAGGAGGGCATAATGGGCATGACACATTCAGACTATTGTCTCCAGAACGTCTGTCCATACTGGAAATGTGGCCAGTTCTAAAGTGCTTTCTAATACCCAGTCGTTTCAGGACACAGGTGTTTCAGGCTTTCGGAATTTTTGCTGAAACCCTTAACCTTAGTCCTGCACTATCTAGGGGAGGGCAAGAGCTGTTTTTGGAAAACAAAAACAATGGGGAGTTGATTAGTATTACTGATGTGCTAACTTAGAGCTTAGCGATTTGGTTTCTTTCTTTCTTTCATCTTTTCCTTCATATATACATCAAATATAATAAAAAAAGAAAACTAACAAATGTATTAGTGTCGGTGTTGTCATTATTTAAGTTCCTAACAGCCTGAATTAATCACTTGTTTGGGTACCTGAGCGATCTTAACTTACACAAGATAATTGGGTAAAAACATGTCTAAAACTATTGGGAATTCGGAGCCACCGCCATTATTTTCTAGCAACTTTTAGATTATCATTTACAGCTGTCTTATGACATTCCTGGTTACTTATAAATTTATTGTAACTAAAAACACTCGTGTAAGTGTAAAAATACTGGCAAATAGGATTTTAGGTTACAAAAATAAAAGTTGGGTTGGCACAACCGTTTTGACTGCATAAGAGCTAGCTAACACTGGAAATCATCCCAAAAAAATTAAGTACATCTCTTGAAAACTTGCCTGAGTCTTTGAAATTTCATAATTAAGTCTTTATCTTCTACAGTTTTCAATGTATATTCTTGTGCAGCAGTGAGTTTTAAATGTACATATGACTTTATTGCTACTGAAGACTGATTTCCCCTGCTTCTTCCCCAACAGAATGGGTAACAATTGCCAATAACCTTCTTTTTAAATGTCACATACACCTGAGGATACACGAACTTCAAGACTGTGATGCTAATGTTTTTATTGCCCTTTATCAATCCATTTTGGGAGAAAAGGTACCAGGTAAGGGTACTGAAAAGTGAGAATATTTTATGTCTTGGGTCACAGGTTTCCTTTGACATAGAATTTTGTTTCCCTTCGACATCTTATTTCTATCCAAATATGGCACAAATTGCTTTAATAAGTACATTATGGACCTCACCCATAATAGTCATGATTAAATAGTTTGGCATTTATTTGAGTTAATCCCTATTTAATTGAATCTCATACAGTTCATGCCTTTAAAGACATTATTTCTGTAACTACCTTCAAGATTCTAAATTTGAATGGGTCTTGGAAATTTGTTGGATCTGACTTAACTAGTGATTATAGGTAAGAATTAACATTACAGTGAGGTGTGTTGGCCAGGCTGCTCTACATAGTGAATTCTAGAGTTACATAGACCTTTTTCCCCCAAAAAATAAAAAAAAATTCCGTTTGTATTTTGTTAACATAATTTACTAAGACGACAGCTAATTCATGCTGTAGTGGTGTATGCGTTTAGTCCCAGCACTGAGGAGGCAGAAGGGAGGTAGAGATCCACAGAGATGAGGGCTAGCCTGGTCCACAGACCTGGTAAATGAAAACAGCCGATCAGTGTGACTTACTGTGGCTGCCAGATCATTTGCATGTGTCCTCCGTTAAATATCACAGATCCCTCATGCTTAGATTCCTTACTGCTCCTTCCTTTGGCTCTAACTGATGAACATGCATTACCATAAAAGGAGCACCATCTGGATCTCCCCACCATTAACTTGAATGAGTATCCTCCACATTTTCTAGAATAATGGTGTGTGATCTGAAGTTGTGGAAGCTTGATATTAGTTTCAGCTGTCTAGGGCTCATCTTTTTGTTGTTACTGTTTGAAGACAGGGTCTTTCTCACTGTGTATCTATCCCTGGAACTCACTCTGTGGACCAGGCTTTACTTGAACTCAGAGATCCACTTGGCCTCTGCCTCCTGAGCACCAGGATCAAAGGCTACACCTGGCTCTAGGACTTAACCCACGTTCAATACCAGAGAGATTCTTGGCTTGCTGTTGAGATCTTTCCATACTCTCTCATCTGTGCTCTAGCTTTTATGCCAACGATTCCCAGCAGGCTTGTAATGAATGGCATTTAAGAGGCCTGCTTGAGTACCTACTGTGGTTTGGTGCTCTTGATTCTTGAGACAGTATCACTGTGTAGCCTCACTTGGCCTAGAACTCACTATGTGGACCAGGCTGTACTTTCCCTTCTGAATGAATGCTGGAATTAAAGGCATGTGTCACCATGTCTAGCTGATTTGGGATTTAATTATTTGCTTTACTTTGTCAAGGAAAGCAGAGTGTTTGGGTGTTAAGTATCTTTTTGAGACAGGTCTTGTTTTATAGACAAGTGTAGCTGCAAACTCATAATACTACCAAGCCCCTCTGGTGCTGAGATTATAGACATGTCATCATGCACAGCCTTGCTGTTATTATTAGACCATCTTATTGCCTTGAATATAGGGGTCTCTTTATTCCTTTTCATGGTGCTTCCATAAAATACACATACATTGTGTGAGAAGTATCTCATTAATATATAGAGTGTTGAAAAACAAGTTCACAACAATAGTCAGCTAATACAGACTCTAGTGCATAGCATTTAGGTTCTTTTTTTTTTTTCGAGATAGGGTTTCTCTGTGTAGCCCTGGCTGTCCTAGAACTCACTCTGTAGACCAGGCTGGCCTTGAACTCAGAAATTCGCCTGCCTCTGCCTCCCAAGTGCTGGGATTAAAGGCGTGCGCCACCACCGCCTGGCGCATTTAGGTTCTTTAAGTTCTTTTTTGTTTGTTTGCTTGAGTTTTTTTTTTTGCTTGAGTTGTTTTTAATAGCAGTAGTTTACTCAGAAACTTAGTCATAGATTATTTACGACAAATATAAATATATGTATTTATATTTCAAAACTTGGCCCCTCATAGATCTAAGACAATGTGGCTTTCTTCCTGCCCCACAGACCTCATTGTTATTCCCAAGAATCAAGAAGACGAAGCCCACAATGTACAAGCAGTAATCGATTCACTAGCTTTGGATTACCTTCAGGTCAGCCTGTCTCATATAACAGGTCAGTATATATTTACCCATCAGATAATTACATATTCTATTAAATGTTAGACTCTTAGGTGCTGTTTAGCCAAGTCCAAACAGGAAACTGTAAGGCTGAGCTACAGCAATGAATGTCTAGTTAGACCACCATGAGGGCCCTGGAAAACTGAACATGGAGTTGGAAATGTGTTGTATGTGGTTTTTGTTTGTTTGTTTTCTTGAGACAGGGTTTCTCTGTGTAGCCCTGGCTGTCCAGGAACTCCCTCTGTAGACCAGGCTGGCCTAGAACTCAGATCACCTGCCTGAGTGCTACACAGAAACACCCTGTCTCGGGGAAAAAAAAAAACTGTCCCCCCACTCCCAACTCCCCCAAAAAGGTACGTACTACCATGCTTCTTTTAAAGCATCATGCTGAATATTGTAGCTAAAGAAACACCTAAGTGTCCACAGTTAGGGGCTGATTAAATCAGTTTATTTTTTAATTTGTTTATTTATTTATGTGCATTGGTATTTTGCCTAAATGTATATCTGTGTGAGGGCATCAAATCATGTGGAATTGGATTATAGACAGCTATGATCTGCCATGTGGGCGTTGGGAATTGAACCTGGGTACTCTGGAAGAGCAGCCAGTACTGCTAACCACTGAGCCACCTCTGCAGCCTGAGGACATTGATTTGTTTTGTTTTTGTTTTTCGAGACAGGGTTTCTCTGTGTAGCCCTGGCTGTCCTGGAACTCACTCTGTAGACGAGGCTGGCCTCAAACTCAGAAATCCACTTGCCTCTGCCTCCCAAGTGCTGGGGTTAAAGGTGTGTGCTACCACTGCCTGGCGAGGACATTCTCAATATACAATTTTCACATTACAGAAAATAATCTTCAATGTATACTATAGTAGGAAAACTTGTCTTTCTGGTGATAATACACAGCACGTACTACAGTGTGTTAGAGCAGATTTGGAAAGAGGATCTGTATGTTCTTGATTGCATTCAGAGACTTTCTAGAAGAGTATGTAAGAAACATGTTACTCTGATGGCATCAAATGAGACCTTCATGGATTCTGAAAGGGACAAGAATTGTTCTTGAGCAATTTTAAAACTTACTTTTTTTTTTTTTTTTTTTGAGATTTTGTTTATATGCATGAGCATTCTGCCAGCATGTAGAGGGTGCCGTGTCCCCATTGGAACTGGAGTTAAAGACAGTTGTGAGCTCCCATGTGGGTGTTGGGATTGAACTCAGGTCCTCCGGAGAGTTGAGCTACTGAGCTCTCTCCAGCCCCAAGACTTTGAACTATCTTATCCATTCAAACAGTTGGGGACGTAATTTAATGGTTTCCCTACATGCTTGCCTAGCATGTAGGAGGCCTGGGTTCAGTCTCTTAACCCCACACCCAGACACAGATACAATTTCATGTAAACTATTTCTTAAACTTCTCCCAGAATAATACAGTACTATGTTGCATTCAAAACAAAACATAACACATGTATTCGTAGTTGCAGACCGAGAGTTCAGAATTCTAAGAATGAGTTCAAGCTGATGAACGGTGAGGAGCTTAGAAATGCCAGAGTGAGTTTTAATCACACAGCAGGCTTATGCTGTTGACATACTCATTTCAAGAGGTAAATGTTTTTTCTGTTCTTTTTGTTTTATTTTTTTTCGAGACAGGGTCTTTTTACATAGCCCTGACTATCCTGGAACTCACTGTAGACCGAGCTGGCCTCAAATTTATAGGGATCCACCTCCCTCTGGTTCCTGAATTCTGGGATCAAAGAAGTGCACCACTGTGCCCAAGGAGTGAAATGTTAAGATAGGTTATATTTCTCAATAAACTGGCAAGAGCCACACACCGTGGCATTCTAATTCAGTTCTACATGAGTAAATGGTGTTGACCAGTTGGGAGGAATGGATGTGCAGGGAGGCTCCTTCTTCTTGTAGCTCAGTAGAATTACTTTATAGTCTGAGTAAGGACAGTTGCTGGTTTGTTTGTTTTCAGACAGTATGTCACTGTGTTGTTTTGGTTGGCCTAGAACTTACAGAGATCCAGTTGCCTCCCTACTGCTGATATTAAAGCTGTGTGCTACCACATCCAGCTTCTTCTTTTTTTTTTTTTTTTCCTTTTTTTCTTTTAAGCCAGATTCTCAAATTGTAGCTTGGTCTGAGTAATTAGCCCAGACTGGCCTCAAACTCCTAGCAGCCCCTCTATTCCCGTCTCTTTAGTGTGGGGATTGCAGGTCCAGGTTACTGTGAATGGCTTGGCATATGTGCTCTCTGAGCATCCTGGGGCAAGGTTATAAAGACATCTACTTGTGAAGGGTTTTGGTATAGAGCTGCCCTGGTAGCACAGCAGTGAAAAGTTGAAGGGCCGCTTACCTCTTCAGGCTGACCGCAGAGCTCGTTTACAGCACTTTGTCCCACCACAAAGCTCTGCACTCTGCTGACAATCCAGTTGCTGGGTTGGCATCTTGTACTCCCCATCCTGGAAACCGAAAAGTCTTGAGTATGCCCTTGGGACACAATTACATATTTTAAGCCAGAAAAACACAGCACTTGAAAACATGGTTTCTGGTGTGTTATTTTAAACATTAAAAAGCCTGTCAAACCCTGTCTGTTTTTACCATCAGCAGAGGAAAACATCAGAGTTCTGGTTTTGGTTTGTTTTAGGTCATGGTTAAAATAAATGGACTGGATTCTCAAAAACCAGATTTCAAGTCTGCTTTTGCTGTATTTTTTTTTTAATGATAGGCATAATTTTCCAAAGGATAGACAGTATAGGAAGGTAAGTTCTGTCCAGACTTGATGTTGATTAGAGTCCATTTTAGATGATATTAAACAAATCAAGCTTTTTTTTTTTAATCATGCCCATGTTCACCAGCCCACTTCTATTCAGCATTTCAACCTAACATTTATCCGTGGTCTCTTATGGCCAGGTGTTGTGCTAGAACCTTTCCAGAGATTAACTTCTGAGAGCTAGAGGTATAAATCAATAGGGAAAATGCTTGCCTAGCATGCAGGAAGCAGGCCTTTGCTCTCCAGTACTGTCCTAAACCAGGTATGCTGATACATGACTGTAATTCCAGCATTCGGGGAGGTGGAGGCAGGAGGAGGAATTTACGGTCATCCTTTACTGCATAGAAAGTTTGAGACCAGTTTGGGATACTTGGGATCCTGTCTCAAGAAAGGAAAAAGATGCTTTTGACCTTTACAAAATAAATAGATGTGACCCGAGATTCCTGATGGAAACAGCCGACAAGTTGTCTTTTGTCTTTCTGTAACTTTTCCCAGCTAGCCTCAAGAAGCAGGCTCCTCAGTCCTCCTCGTACCCCTTCTTGACTAGCTACTGTAAAGCTCCTGCCCTTTCCTGTTTTGGTGGGGATCTCCCAGAGGATGTTCCTTGGGGACACTTACTCAGCTGCTAGGAAAAGGACCATGCCAGTGAGTGAGGAAATCCCACATTTGGGCTCCCCAACCCCTTGATTCTTCAGATACAGGCAGACAGCAGGAAATGGATGTTTTTGATAATTTATCATTGCTTTTCCTTGGTTAGTTTATACCTGTGTTCCCAAACAGCACTTATATATATATTGATGACAAGGCTTATGAGGCTTTCTGGTTTCTTCGTTAAATGTCTTAAAGTCTGTGTCTTCTGTGTTCAGGAGAAAACATAGTGAGAGGGGATAAGGAATCTATCAAGAACCTCCTAGAAATATTTGATGGATTGCTGGAGTATCTGACAGAACACATCAGTGAATCGTCTCACAACAAAAGTAAGTTTCCGTACAGAGAGCCAGCTCAGAGTCTCTGATACAAAACAGCTGGTACATGTAAGGATAAAGTTCTAGTTCTTTCTGTGCTCAGTGATTAGAAACTCTATCCTAGACTCCCATTATGCTCTTTGCTAACTGGGATGTGGCTCTTAAATTACAACCAATCAATAACAAAGTTACCTTCTAGCTGAATTATTTATTGTCCTATTATTACATGAAATCTCTTGTTCCAGAATTTCCTGTCAGAACTGCCATCACGCATGGTAAGTGGGTGTTACTTAGGGATTAGCTGGGAGACCTGGTACATCATTGGTTTTGACCTAAATTGGCATTTTGTGACAGCCTGAATATTTTTAATATTACTCTTTGAGTAACCCAATTCAGACTTATCATGTGAAATTTCTCTAATGAAGAAATGTACTGTTATACTTAGATTCATTTTTTCACCTTTGATAAATTCTGTATCTAGAACTTACCCTAAGGAAGTAATCCTAAAGACATTTAAGTACTTGAAATTCTTTCTTGCATTGTTATTATAGTTATGGAAAAGGAAACAAACATGAATTCTAATACACGTTAAAACAAAATGCTTGGGCTCATTCATCCTCCACATTCTGCTGCTGTTCCTGTGAGACCTAAGCTCAGGCTGTGGCACTTGCAGGCAGTCTTCCAGTCTCTGGTTAGAGGGCCCTCCTCTCCATATCAGTGACTAAAAAGATGTAAAGCTGTACCAGAGCCTGGAAAGGGATGGCATGCTGGCAATGTCCTCATTTCAGGGATTTTGAGGAGTGATTCATGTTAAATGTGTACTTGGAGGCGTTGCGAGCTGTGTGTCATGTTTCTGTTTCTAAGAATCCTGTACTTAACCAGGGAGACAGCTCTAGATGTGTGTAACACAGCATAAAGGATGGAAGGGTGCTGGGAGTGCATGGCAGGTGGAGCTCACAGGCTCGGGCCAACAGAAAGCATCTGAGTGTGCTCTGTCTCTTAAAGCTGTTTTCATTATGTTCTTTATTACTGATCTTGTGTATACAGGTGCATGTGTGTGGGCATCTTTACATGTGTGTGCATGTAGAATGGACTCTGTCTTCCACCATGTGGGTCTCAGGGACCAAACACAGGCTGGCCGGTTTGTTAGGAGGTACCTTGACCCACTGTGGCTTTTTTTTTGTCTTTTTAAAAAGTAACAAGGTTAAGAGGCAGAAACTCTAAGTAAAGAGGCAGAGATTAGTTTAAATGGTGGGAGCAGCCAGGCATGGTGGCACCACCTTTAGTCCCATCACTCAGGAGGCAGCAGCAGGGCAAGCGCTGAGTTTGAGGCAAATGTTGAAAGCACTTTTACAATTTAATACTTGATCACAGGGAGTTCTACAGGATCACAGGGATTCTAGGTACCTAGCTGATGAGGGCAGTGAGGACTGTCTTATTTACTGTCTTGTTGCTGTGAAGAGATACCATGACCACAGCAACTCTAATCAAAGAAAGCATTAATGAGGGGCTTGCTTTAGAGTTTTAGAAGCTTATTCTATTATTATCATGGCAGCAAGCAGGAGTGATGCTGGAGAAATAGTTGAGAGCTACATCCTCATCCACAAGGAAAGAGAGAGAGAGAGAGAGACAGAGAGAGAGACAGAGAGACAGAGAGAGAGAAAGAGAGAGAGACACTGAGAGACTGAGACTCTAGGCTTGGCATGGACTTCTGAAACCTCAAAGCCCACCTCCAGGGACACACTTTCTCCAACAAGGCCACATCTCCTTATCCTTCTAATCCTTTCAAATAGCACCACTCCCTAGTGACTAAGCATTCGGCTGTATGAGCCTCTGGGGCCATTCTTAGTCCACTGCAGGGATGGAGGGAGCAGGACAGAATAGACTTTCATGCAAGTGCATCATAATGGAAACAGGACTATTCCCAGAGGAAGTCTGTAGTGAGTTGTGGTTGTGCAGTTGAGCCCCTTTCTGTGACAACACCTTAGTTAGACAACTTTCTAAGGTTCTAGTTTCACTTACACAGGTCCAAAGTGTATTTATTTGTTACTGTTACCTGGAGCTGATCATACTCTTCAAAGTTCCAGTTAACAGTAACAGGAACCAAATGTCTGTTGTCATTAATCACATGACCTGAGTAGGGTAGCTTCCGCCTGGGACCTAGCACTGTTTAGCACTGAAGAAGGAGGCTTTGGAGGCAGAGACTCGGGTCAGTACTTAGTTCTCCCCTTACTGTACTGTCGATGTTCTCTAAGCTTTTGTTCTTTGAGGCAGGGCCTTGAGAAGCCAGTGCTGGCCTTCAGCTCCTGCTAGTCCTTCCTCTGTCTGCCCTGATTACAGATGTGCCCCATCACACCCAGCTCTTAGCCTGTATTCTTTTCTGAAGGTTGTGAATGTTAAGTGGGAATAGTTAGGGAAGAGTAGGTGCACAGGAGTGTCAACAGATGGTCCTGAAATGCACCTCTGGGAACGTGCAGGTAGCCAGAAGTGGGGTGAATGCTTACGCAGGGATCATGCAGAATACAGAGGGGAAATCTGGTCACTGGAGCCTCCTGTCTTCTGGATTCATCCTGACATTGGTGAAAGTGGATAGTAAAAGATGGAGATTTTTATCTAAGTTGTGATGTGGTTTCCTAGCCTAAGGCATGACTGTCTTGGAACCTGAGATATGTTGGCACAATCATGCCTTGGTGCTGACTTCCTTTATTATCCTCCGCTATCCCTTACAGATGAAGCGGTGACCATGTAAGTGAGCCTAGCACTACCAGTGGGGCTGGATAGGGCTGGCAGAGCCTTGGTGGGTAAAAGCATTTGTCTCATAAGCTTGATAACCTGAATTCCATTCCTAGAACCCACAAAGAAGGGGAGACAACTCCCCAAAGTTGTCCTCTGACCCCCACAGAGTATGGTACTCAAGCTCCTTCACAAGTGTGCCTCCCCCCAAGTGTGCAAACACAGGGAAAAATGAAGCACTGCTCTGACAGCCTGCCCACCTCACTGTGAGAGCCCCTGCTTGTCTCTCATTTTCCAGGGCACTCACGGCAGGTGGTGGTTGGCTCAGGACAGGCAGGGGTATTAGCTTTCATTTTTATCTTTTTAAACAGGTGAAACTGAACAGTACTCTAAAGACTTTCCTGGAGAAGAACCTGTGGAAGAACTAGACAGTATCAAGGAGTCCAAGTCTTCATGGAGAAAAGTTTCTTTTACGAGGTAGGGTGGAATGCCTGTGAATTTCATCAGACAAGTTATGCTTTCCACTACGTGAGATTAAGTCCAGCATACTCTAATGGTCCCTCCAAAAGCTAATGTTAACATTTTATACCTTTCTGAGGGAATTTTAAGAACATTGAACTATATTTAATAATTTAATGCTAATTCTCAATTTTTAACTACGTATTAATTTTTGATTTTCCCTTGATCATCAATTTTTCCTTTTGAGACAGGCCTTATGTACCCTGTGCTGGCCTTGAACTCACTGTGTAGCTGAGTACAACTCAGCTGAGCAAAAAATGTTACAGAAATGCTTTTTGGGAGTTGCTTGAGGGACAGGTTCCTAGCCTTTGCTGTCCTGTAACTCACTCTGTAGCCCAGGCTGGCCTTGAACTCAGAGATAACCCTGCCTCTGCCTCCCAAGTGCTGGGACTGAAGCCATGTGCCACTGCTGCATGGCCTAGAAATGTTTTTAAGCATCTTTAAAGAGATGAGATCTAGAGTTCAGAGGTAAATACCATTGGCTTCTGTTAACAGTTTAGTTTTTTGTGCTGATGCTTTGTTCTTTTTTGGTGGTATTGGGATCAAACACAAAGGTCTCATGTTAGGCAGACATTCTACCTCTGAGCCCTTGAGTTTCCTGTCTTTTCCGTCTTGGCTTTCACTACCTTTTTCATTCTAGACTTTTTTCTAAGTACCCCTGGCTGCCCTGAAGTCCTGATTCTCCTGCCTCTGCCTTCCAACTGTTGGGATTAAAGACTTGTGGTAACACATCAACACTTAATTCTTTTTATTATCTATCTATCTATCTATCTATCTATCTATCTATCTATCTATCTATCTATCTAATCTCTTTGTTTAATTTTTGAGGCAGGGTCTCACTTTGTAGCTTTGGCTAGCCTGGAAGTCATAGATTAAAGGTGTGCACCTTTGATCCCAGTACTCAGGAGGCAGAGGTAGGTGGATCTCTGATTTTCTCTGAGTCTAAGGCCAGCCTTGTCAACAGAGTGAGTTCCAGGACAGCAAGGGCTACACAGAGAAACTCTAAAAGAAGAAAGGAAGGAAGGAAAGGAAGGAAGAAAAGGAAGGGAGGAAGGGAGGGAAAGAAAGAAGGACAGATACTGGTATTCCACCAACTCTATCTCTAGCCCTTAAGAATATTTGCTGTGAAAGTCTGAGACTCCTACAGCCTTAGACTCACTGGGTTTTTATTTATTTATTTATTTATTTATTTATTTATTTTAAAATACTATGTAAAGTATATAGTGCTTTGCCTGCATGTAAGTCTGCAGGCCAGAAGAGGGCACCAGATCTCATCATAGATGGTTATGAGCCACTGTGTGGTTGCTGGGAATTGAACTCAGGACCTCTGGAAGAGTAGACAGTGCTCTTAACTGCTGAGCCATCTCTCCAGCCCCCAGGTTTGTGTTTTTTAATCCTTGATACATGAAGCTGTTTCCACCTTGCATATAGCAGTCAAAACCAAATGGAAAACAGCAAAAGGAAATCTTCCTTTCATCCTGCATCCCACCCTCTTTCTGTGCTGGGATAATAAACCAAGGGCTTTAAGCATGGTAGGCAAGTGCTGAATTACTGGGCTACACTAAAGCCCCAGTCTTTATGCACCTAGGAATAAGCAGCCTGAATACCTGAATACCTGAAAACCCCTGTTTGAAATAGCTCTCTGTAGTCAAACCACGCCATAGTGAGTGAGACCTTTTTCAGGTGTCCCTTCTCATCGGATACTTTGGGTCCCACCTGGGATGAAGAGGAAGCTGAGTCCACAGGTGAAATAATTAGGCTCGGAGACACTGCACACACCTTTTCCCTCAGAAGTAATGGTGAGTAGACAAGCTTGAAATACCAACTGTCCTTTAACACACACGCACAGAAATGGAGACTCTTACAATTTAAGGTTGAGATGATAGAGCTTCAGTCAAGCGTCCTCACTGAGATCGCAGACTATCACCATTGCCCACTAAATATGAACAGCTATCTGACATTCTAGCTGTGAGAATCAAGGGCATGTACGCAGGTAAAGCCAACGCCAGTCAATGCATGCAGAGCTGTCATCTGGTCTGTCAGACAGATGAACAGTCAGCCTTGAGCTTACAACTGTTGGGATTAAAGATTTGTGGTAACACATCAACACTTAATTCTTTTTATTATCTATCTATCTATCTATCTATCTATCTATCTATCTATCTCTTTGTTTAATTTTTGAGGCAGGGTCTCACTTTGTAGCTTTGGCTAGCCTGGAGGTCATAGATTAAAGGTGTGCACCAAGATGCAGCCTTGAACTTGATCACCCCTTTGGAGTGTTGAATTTTCTCACTTTGTTCATGATGTGCACCAGCAAGTTCGTGTTCCTGGGACTATGCTTCAAGCCCATGTTCAGCAGTCTATTGCTCATAGACAGAGTTGTGCACCCATTGGGTCCTCATTCAGCCCTTCTACCCGGTTCTACCCCTGCTCTCAGTTGGAACTCCTTGGCCAGCACATTGCCCCATCTCTTCCTGGCAGGCTCATGTTCCAGCGCCCAGCCTCCTCACCCTTGCCAGACTCAGACTCTAAGGCTTTCTCTGTATTTCTACAACAGCACTGGTGAGCAGCCGCAGAGCCGCCTTGACGGTGCTCAGCCAGTGTGAGGACAGACTGTAAAATGGACAGTAAAACTCTGGGGTATCTCAGTCTCAAAACCTGGCAAGACACAAGACCACAATAAGGATGTTTTTGAATAGAACAATGAAAGGCTCTTGTGGAAATAGGTACAATAAACTGAGAATCAAGAGGCTTCATTCTATAACTATTGGCTTTGTGACTTTGGACAAGGCCCTCTTCTGAGTTTGATTTCATCGGTGTGAAATGAGACACTTGGACTAAGCCATCTCTGTAGTCTCTGTCAGTGTTAACACTCTGATTGGAGGGAAGTCTTCATTCCAGCAGCAGATCCAAGCCAGGAGGGAAGGGATGGGGAGTCTATGATGAGTTGTGTGATATCAAATGCCATGAAAAATGTGTAACTGCAAAATCTGAAACTGAGTACTGACATGCTGTAAGTGGAAAATTTCAGCCTGAGTCAGCCAAATGGCTCGTCCAGTAAAGGCACCTTGCCATCAAGCCTGACCACCCTACTTCTAATCCAAGGACACACACAGTAGGATAGAACTCCCAAGTTATCCGCAGAGCTTCATATGGTCACCATGGTATCTTATGCACAAAAATAAATAAACTATAAAAAGGTAGGGAGGTACAGGGGTACTATGGTCATTTTTTATTGTATATTGTATATTATATATTATATACTGTGCCTGGCTAGTTTTATGTCAATTTGACAGAAGGTGAAGTCATTGGAGAGGAAGGATCCCCAATTGAGAAAATGCCTCCAAAGATTAGGCTGTAGGCAAGCCTGTAGGGCACTTTCTTAATTATTGATATATGTGTGAGGGCCCAGCCCATTGTGGGTGAAGCCATGTCTGGGCTGGTGCTCCTGGGTTCTATAAAAAAGCAGCCTAAGCAAGTCAGTAAGTGCTACTCCTCCATAGCCTCTGCATCAACCCCTGTTCAGGTTCCTGTTTTTATTGCTTTGGATGGTGAGCTGATGGACAGAGGGTGAGTGAGATAACCCTCTCCTCCTCAAATTGCTTTTGATTATAGTGGTTCCTCACAGCAATAGTAACTCTAATCAATCTAGATAGATAGATAGACAGACAGACAGACAGACAGACACATAAAATTCTCAAGAATAAAGAAGAAATGGCTAGATGTGGTGGTGCACGCCTTTAATCCCAGCATTCAGGAGGAAGAGACAGAAGGATCTTGAGTTCGAGGCCAGCCTGGTCTACAGAGTGAGTTCCAGGACAGCCAGGGCTACACAGAGAAACCCTATCTCAAAAAGAAAAAGAAAAAAAAAATGTCGAGGCTATGTGTGAAGGCATATATGAAACATGAGTGAATCGGGCCCTCCCTTTAATGACAATTTTGTATATGAGCATATTTTCAAAGCTGTGAACTCCTTTGGTGCCAAGCGCTCAGATGTGGGACGGACATCCTATTACAGATTAGACACAGAGCTCTAGAGAGTCAATTCAGTCAAGAAAAAAATTCAAACTAAAAATTTAATTATAACTTAAAAGACCAAGAATAAAAACAAAGCTGGGGTGTAGTGTTTGAATTTTATGTGATAATAGGACGCCTTCCTCTTAGGTTTAGATGAATATGTCAGATAACAGTCGTATACTTTCACTGACGTCTACTTTAGGCTTCGATCCCAAACCCTAAGTCTTAGGTAAGGGTATTAGTCACAGCCCAACTTCATACAGCGGCACAGCTGCATCTCTGGCACCTGCACTCCTAAAGCAGATAAGCCTGCGCTCAGGCTGTGAGCATTGCCTCTTCCCGTGTTACAGGTAATTGGTATCATGAACATTCAGGACAATATATTATTTGAACATGTTGTTCCTATTAGCTTTTAATATATTTAACAAACTTTATTGATGGTTTAAAACTTTGGCCGTAATATTCTCTTTCTCAGGTGCTCAAAATTCCATGGACTTACGGTCTAGAAAAGCCTTGGCTTCACCAGGCATTAAGCCACCTGAGGAAATGTTGAACCCTGACTCATCAGATTTTCTACACAAGAATGGACCGCCTTGTGAGGAAGGTGAGCTGTGTTGGGTCTTGGTTCTTTTTTTTTTTTTTTTTTTTTTGAGACAGGGTTTCTCTGTGTAGCCCTGGCTGTCCTAAAACTCACTTGGTAGACCAGGCTGGCCTCGAACTCAGAAATCCGCCTGCCTCTGCCTCCCAAGTGCTGGGATTAAAGGCATGCCACTACCGCCCGGCTGGGTCTTGGCTCTTGATGCTACCTGCAGCAGTGTGTGTACATGCTGCATTGCCACTATGTAGGTCAGAGGGCAGCGATACAAGTTAGGTGTCCTTTCTACTGTAGGGCCTATGGGTTGACCTCAGATCATCTGGATTGGCAGCAAACACCTCACCTGCTGAACCATCTTGCCAGCCCATGAGCTCTGTTTGAATTAAATTAAAAATATATTCCTGTCTTAGTTAGGGTTTTACTGCTGTGAACGGACACCATGACCAAGGCAACTCTTATAAGGACAACATTTAATCAGGGCTGGCTTACAGATTTAGAGGTTCAGTCCATTATCATCAAGATGGGAACATGGCAGCATCCAGGCGGGAATGGTGCAGGAGGAACTGAGAGTTCTGCATCTTCATCTGAAGGCTGCTAGAAGACTGCTAGAAGAAGGCAGCTAGGACGAGGGTCTTAAAGCCCACACCCACAGTGACACACTTACTAAAACAAGGCCACACCATCTCCAACAAGGCCACACCTCAAAATAGTGCCACTGTCTGGGCCAAGCATATTCAAACCACCACAATTCCTAAACTGAGGCTGTGGCCGATGGTGTGATCCCAGCACTTGGGAAGCTGAGTGGATTGATGTGCAAAGTCTGAGGACAGCCTGGAATCTAAAGTGAATTCTAGGACAGTGATGCTTTTGTAGAAAAACAAAACCAGTTATATAGTCACTGCTGGCCTGGGGCTATAGCTCAGTGGAAGAGCGCTGCACATGAGGCCTAGGCTCCATCTTCTGCACCTCACACATGCATTCCCATAGCATGTGTGAGTGTGAGTGTGAGTGTGAGTGTGTGTGTGTGTGTGTGAAACCGTTCATCTTCAGGGATTCCATCATAAGACCCATTGTAACCTCTCTTAGCAGCAGAAACTCCGCCTATGAGCATGGTTCCAAGTGCCAGGAAACTAGGTGAGCCGATCCGAGCTGCTATTCCTTTGCATCCTCCCTACCATCCTTCTGAGCCCAGAGCACCCTGTCCCATAGGCAAAGAATACCTCTGGTCAAGTCACTACTTGTCTGCGCTGACTTCTGGAGAGCACACGGCACCTTCTGTGGTAAGTGGAAAGGTCTTCTTATAGTTGGCTAGAAGCCCGTATATTACTTATTTTTGCTGCTGGTGATTGAACCTAGAGCCTTGAATAAACATTCTGAGCATACACAATCCAACTGATCTGTACTCCCAGCCCCAGAAGCTCATCTATTTAAAGAGGTCTCTGCTAGGATGGCCGTCAGGTATATTATCAGAGTCTGAGCGAGGCACAACGACATACACTTGAAATCGTAGCACTTAGGAAGCTAAGATGAGGGGCACGGGGGATTTGAGGCCAAGCGGGGCTAAACACTGAGACCTTTGCTCTCATTCATCAACAAACAAATGTAAACTAAACAAACAATTTAAATAAATAAATAAATAAATAAATAATCAATCAAAGTATCTTATTCTTTTTGAGACAAGGTCTTCCTGTGTGTATAGTCCTGGCTGGCCAGCCAAGAACTTGTGTTGTAGACTAAGCTGGCCTTCAACTCATAGAGATCTGCCTGCTTCAGCCTCTCCAGTGCTGGGAAAAATGGTGCATCATACTTAAAATTTAGCTCAGTAGGCTGGACATGTATCTTAATTGGTAGAATGCCCACCTAGAATACACACATCCCCAACATTTCCTAAACCTAATCCTCAGGTTGCAGAGGCAAGAAGATCAGAAATTTGCATTTGTCCTCAGCTACAAGAAACCCTGTCTTTAGGGGCTGGAGAGGTGGCTCAGTGGTTAAGAGCACTGACTCCTCTTCCAGAGGTTCTGAGTTCAATTCCCAGCAACCTCATGGTGGCTCACAACCATCTCTGATGGGATCTGATGCCATCTTCTGGTGTGTCTGAAGAGAGTGACAGTGTACTTGTATACATAAAATAAATAAATGAATCTTTAAAAATAAAAGAAAAAAAGAAAGAAACCCTGTCTTTAAAAATAAGTTGGGGTTGGAGAGATGGGTCAGTGGTTAAAAGCACTGGCTTCTCTTTCAGGGGATCCAGACTTGACTCCATCTACATGGCAGCTCACAACTTCTGGTAACTTGAGTCCCAGGGGATCAGACACCCTCTTCGGTGTAGAGACACATGTGTTGCATAGTCATACACATTGGTAAAGCACCCATTTCCACGACTAATAAGCTAAATACGTAAAAATAATAAACTAAATAATAAAAAACTAAAATAATAAACTAAATAAATAACTTATTTTGATTTGTCAAGATGGAGTTTCTCTGTGTAGCCCTGGCTGTCCTAGAATTCACTCTATAGACCAAGCTGACCTCGAACTCAGAGATCTACTTGCCACTCCCTCCACAGTGTGCGCCACCAATGCCCGGCAATAAAATACTTGTTAAATTAAAAGAAAAAAGTTGAGCTTTGTAGCTCCCTGTATGCTCTTATCCTAGGCAGACAGGGACCAGTACATACAGGATGCTTGGTCTGCCAAGCAGTTCTGGGTGCTCTATGGGTGCTAGATGATTAATCCTCAAAACAGGTGTGGAGTGGATACTGCACTCCCAAGGGAAAGCTAATCTAGAGAAGTTAATGCCTTGTTTGAGGCTCTACCGAAATTGTAGGACCAGAATTGAACTCAAGTGTAAATGGCTGGCCTGAGCTGTATATCCCTAATTAAATACTTACAGATTATAAAGAAAAGGACAATCACATGTTCTCACTGTTCTGCATAAAGCACTTAATATCTTGGTCTATTTGTTTCTTATTTGCTTGAAAAAAAGGTTTTTTTCATATTGTCATCTTGTCCCTAAACTTTCTGGAAAAACCAGGCATATTTGTGCTGAGGTAGAGCTGAGGTAGAGGAGGTAGGAATGATCTCATTAGGAAGAAATGCACATCGTGGGGTCACACACCTTTGATCACAGTGTTCAGGGGGTATAAACAAGCAGGTCTGTGAGTTGAAGACCATGGTGGTCTACATAGTGAGCTCTAGGCCAGCCAGGGCTACATAAAGAAACAGTGAGAACCTAGCTCACAAAAGGGAGGGAGAGGCAAACAAGACAGGAAAAGTACAAGGAGAGAGAGCCCTGCGTGCTCATCAGTCTCCGTTGTGCTTCTGCTCAGGGAGGAGGAGGAGGAGGAGGAAGGACTAGGAGAACTTAGCTTTGTCGGTCTAGGGGTTGCTGGGATGGATCCTGAGGTTCTGGTAACATGCTGTTTCTTCCCTTGGGTGACGGTGAATGGGAGACACACATTTCACTTTTAAAAGGTTCTCAGGAAATGGGAGTATAAAGCTTGGGTATGGTAACAAGCATCCTTATTCCAGTGCTTGGGAGGCAGTCACAGAGGGGTCTGTACGGGACCAGCCTGGGCTACCTAGTGAGTTCCAGACCAGCTATGACACACACTCTCCAGAGAAGAAAAACAAACTATTTTCTAGGTGGCTCCTGTGTGGTTAAGAAATAAGCTATTGAAAATGCTAAGCATCTCTGTTTCAGAGGGCTTTGTCCCAGAGTGTTTCTGGACAGTTTCTGTTGGCTTTGTGGTGCTGGCCACGACTGAACTCAGGCTCCATGCTGTGTGGCAAGCACTTCTCTGCCTGAGCCATCTCCTGTTTCTCAACTTTTTTTTTCCTATTTGAATAGGAACCAGATGATGTTTTCTTAACTTCTACCTTATATAAAGATGATGATCAGGAAACACGTCTAGCTCTGACTGAAGGCTCCAGGACAAGGAAGCTTTCTAAAGGAGAAAGGTACTGTTGCTGTGTGTGGGCGTTAGCACTTACAGTCTGTCCTAAAGGGATCTGAAAAGTGAAGGGGCTAGAGAGATCACTTAAGGTAAAGGTGTGTGCTGCCCAAGCCAGGTGACCTGACATGGATCCCTGGAACCCATGTAAAGATACTCATGGCAAGCCACTCCCTCCAATAATAACTTTATTTAAAAAAAAAAAAGTATCAAAAAAAATTTAGCTTTTGGGAACCATAATGAAATATTTGTTAAAGTGTTAATTATAGTCATTTTGAAATTAGTGTATGTTTGGCAAGTTGATTGCCATGTGACCACTTTATTACAGAGATGAAAACAGAGCTGTGATCCCTTCAGAGTATCTACCTTTCCCTCAGAAGGCCAGGAAGCGGTTAACGGAACAAGAACTGCATGCCGTGTCAGAGAAACTCTCACAGCGGCTCTCTGAACTGGACTGGGCAAGTCTTGTCTTTTAATCTTGGTTGAGATTTCTGTGGTTAGCCTTTCAGTGGAAGGTGCTGTTCTCCCAGCAGAAGATGAAACCTAGGCTTAGGTGTTGGGGGATGAGCTGTGTTCTGGGTTCTGTTAAATAGCTGCATCAGTCAGCCTGGTGGGAGTGGAGCATGCTTTTTAATCCCAGTACTTGGGAGGCAGGTAGAGCACTTGAATTCAAGGCAAGCCTGCTCTTCAGATTGAGTTCCAGGGAGTGATGGAGGGGAGGCTCAGCGGTTAAGAGCACTGACTGCTCTTCCAGAGGTCTTGAGTTCAATTCCCAGCAACCACATGGTGGCTCACAACCATCTGTAATGGGAACTGATGCCCTCTTCTGGTGTGTCTGAAGACAACTACAGTGTACTCATATACATAAAATAAACACATAAATCTGAAACAAAAACAGGTGTGGTGGCCTTCGCCTTTAATCCCAGCACTTGGGAGAAAAGGCAGGCAGATCTCTGAGTTTAAGGCCAGCCTAGTCTATAGAGCAAGTTCCAGGAGCTACACAGAGAAACTTTGCCTCAAAAAAAAAAAAAAAAAAAAAAAAAAAAGAGGAAAGATTTGAGTTCCAGGACAGCCTGGGCTACATAGAGCAATCCTGTCTCAAAACCAAAAAAGAGTTCCCCAAGTCAAGCAGGAAGGACACAAACAATGGCACCCCACCTTCCTTATATAACTAAATGTGGCATGGATTTATTGAATCCTGATAAAAATGGGATCACTTAATGTAATTATATTAAATCATTTATTTTTAGTTACATCTCTATACCTTTGTTACCAAGACTGATGTGGTATTAAATTGAATAGTGGGGTAACATGCTTGCATGAAATCTATGTGACTTTCTGTAAAATTTATTGAAGTTGAGTGTCTATAGCACTGATTGCTCAAAAAACAACAAAACAAAACAAAAGTGAGGTCTGAGCCCCACTAGCTGGTCTAGAACTTCTTACACAGGCCAGGCTGGCCTTGAACTTGCTGTGATTCTCCTGCCTCTGAGATCAAAAGTGTGTCTACCCATGCTTTAGATGTCAAAAATAAAGCTGGCTGTTACTGTGCCTCTCCTCCCAGCACTGAAGACACTGAGGTAGGAAGATCATGAGTTCTAGGCCTGCTTTGTCTGCTTGGTTGGCACAAAGAAATCTTAAATCAAATATATAAGATGAATGAAGTAAAGCTGTAGGTAGGTGTGTAAGATACACACATAAGTCTCTACTGCCAAAGATGACTTTTAGAAGGCCTGCTCTCCACTACTGTACTCTGGACTTCCTGCCGAAGTCAAGGACAGACAGTGAAAGAATTTCTCAATAGATGTTAAAAACTGCACTGGGTGATCGAGCAACAGACGAGACTGATGGTAAAGATGCTGATGCTGCAGATGAAGAGGTGCACACTGGGAGTGAGGAGATGCTATCGCAGCACAGTGACAGCGTCATGGAGTATGGACCAAAGAAGCCTAGGCCAGGTACAAACCCAGAGGCCTAGAATGAACTGTCCATGATAACTTTTCAAGTAGTTCCATGTGTTAAGTTTCATTTTATATAAAGATAAAAAATAATAGCAAACTCAAGTTGGTATTGTTTCTTACTGATATTTCTGTATGTCACAGCTTATATATTACTTGTCTAACTATGCACTGTTGTTTCCTTTTAAAAATTTATGCTAACACTATATATATATCCTGTAACTTTAACCTATTAACCTTATTTAGGAAATGTTTGCTGATATTTAAAGAACCAGTTCATTCATTTGAATGGTTGTATAGCTGAATCCACAGTGTGCCCCATTGAGTATTAGTGTTTAGCCATGTTATCTTTTACTGTAAGCATGCTGCCATGCATGTATTTACATTCTGTTCATGGACCCAGACAGGAAAGAGACAAAGCTCACAAGTTACTTGTGTCAGAACCAGGAGCACTTCTCTTCCACAGAACCTTATACATAGCATACATTCTACAGCCTGAATTCAACCCAGAGTTGAATATGCAATGCCTATGTACTTAACAGTACACATTTTCGTGTGCGTGTGTGTGCATGTGCATTTGTGTGTGTGTATGTATGTAGGTTTGTTCATATGAGTGTGTGCATTTGTGTTTGTGAACATGCATGTGGAGGCCAGAGGCCAACATCAGGTTTCTTCCTCAAGTGCTCTTCATGTTATATTTGGAGCCAGGCCCCCCTGACTGAGCCAGGAACCCATAGATATAGCAAGGATGGCCATAAGCTGGGGTTACAGATGCTCTGTCACACCCAGCTTCTTAAGTGAGTGCTGGAGAGCCAAATGCATTCGTAAGCAGCAAGCACCAGCCTCCCCATCCCTAAGTCTGTTTGCTTGCTATGACTGAACACACAACTACATATCAGGAAAGAATGCACTTAGCACATTAGCTTGTCATTCTCATATTTTTCTTTTAAAGATTTAATAGTTTCCAGCTTAACATTTCTGACAGTCAGGAACTAATGGTGAATGACTTTTCTGTGTTGCAGGATTTTCAACGTACAGAAAGGCACCTCACAGGTCCCATTCGCTGTCACCATCTTCAATGAACAAACACAGACAATTAGAGAAAGAGAGAAAAAGGCAGCACAAATCTAAAGGGACAGACTCACGCCATTTCCAAGCAAAGGTACGCTCCCCCATTCCCTGACTATTTATTCCTCACCACTCAAACACCATTTCCCCTCAGCCGGATGTTTCAGTGAACATACTCCATTGACCCAAGGTCTAAAGTGCACCCACTGCCTGGGTTGAATGGATGGCAGAGGACTGTATAATATGGTATATGTTCTCACTAGAGATACGGCCATGAAGTCAAGAAAATAACGCAGTTAGTGTTCAGTGGGTGAAGGAAAAGAGGTCAGTGTGGCCTGCTCTTTTCAGATAGAGGTCAGAGGTAAAGGGAATTAGGAAAGATACAGTGGGATGAGACAGTTTCTGATTAGAGGAGGTGGCCGGGAGCTCAGCTTTTAAGAGCACTTGCTGCTCTTCCAGAGGACCCAGATATGATTCCCAGCACCCGTACGGTGGCTCACAACTGTCTGTAACTGCAGTTCCAGTGGGTCCAAACCCTCTTCTGGCCTTCACAGGTACCAGGTAGGCAGATACTCAGAGCACAGACAGACATGCAGGCAGGATACTTGGTATCATTACCAGGGAAGATGTGCTGTAGACCAGAGATTTTAAAATGTATGAGTTTAGAACACTTACTTGTGTGCTATAGTGATAGGGTTTGGTTTGGTTTGGTTTTTTGAGACAGAGTTTTCTCTGTAGCCGTGTCCTTGAACTTGATCTATAAACCAGGCTGGCCTTGATCTTGGAGATCAGCCTGCCTCTGCCTCCTAAGAACTAAAGGTGAACGCCAGTACTGCCTGGCGTGGTGAGTTTTTATAATGTCATATTTAAAATGGTGAAAACTAGAGTTAGTTCACAGGACATAAAATAGTTCTATCTCAGGGGTTGGGGAGATAGGCAAGTGCTTGCCATGCAAGCATGAGGACTGGAGTCTGATCCCCAGGTTCAGTAAGAGACCCAGTATCAGACAATGTGGTGGGGAGACTGAGGAACACCTCCCGCATGCAGTTATACTCAGATGTAACTTTCATCCAGTAGAGTAGCATTATAAAACCTGTGAAAACAGAAGAAAAACCTCTGCCTCCAGCTTCATTTAGGTACCGATTACAAGTCTGTTAGCACAATGTATTTTTATGAAGCAGTCTGAAAGGAACTTAGGAAAATGTGAATGAATTAGGTATTTTTAGACTGGGAATCCAGAGGAATGTTCCTGACAGCTGTCTTGTATGACCTTATTCTTTCCAGGCATTAACTGAAGCATTTGAACGGGTACTAAGAAAAAATAAAGTTCAAGAGAACGTTGGACTTCGAGGGATAAGGGAGGAGGAGGAAGAAGAGGAAATAGTGGGTAAAAGTCTGCACCTGTGATGAATGCCAGAGTGAGAAGTGCATCACTGACTCTTAGGAGAAGGCAGGGCTTCATGGTACAAGATGTCCTCCAGCTCAGATACAAGAGGACTAAAGTTTAAGGCCTAAACTTTGGCCTTAAAGGTTCTTGTATAATGGTTTGTAAAAAGTTAAAATAGATACAGTTGACAAAGAGGAGGCATGATTCCCAAGCATTGTGTACCGACTGTGAGAAACCCAAGTTTTTGCTTTCTGCACCTCAAAAGATGGGTGTGGTGGTACCTCCCCTTAGTCCCAGCACTTGGGAGGCAGAAGCCAGAGGACATCTGTGGTTTGAGTCCAGCCTGGTGTATATATTGAGTTCCAGGATAACCAGAACTAAATAGACCCTGTCTCAAATAAACCAACCAACCAAGAAAAAATAAGTGGTTTCCAGACTTACTGGAAACGGGAAATGCTTATGCAGATCTCCAACGAAAGCAGGACAGAGGTGCAGGAGATGTAATTCATGCATACTTTGAATTGCTTAGGTTTTAAAATACAGTTAGAAAAGGTGGTAAAGAAACCAGCACATAAAAATCTCAGTAGCATTGTACTTAGGGTATGGGACCAAGGTTACTAAAGCTGGGAAAGGCCGCTTTGTTGGGGAAGAGAGAAAATGAGATTAAAGAGGTGGTTGGTAGTCAGCTGTTCCTGTCTGTATGTCGTCTGAGATGTACAAAAGCGTTTGTAGACCCCTTTCTTTCTTCTGTCCTTCTCATCGGCCTCTAAGGAAAAGTCACACAGGGAAGCCTTTCCGAAGAGAACTTCAAAACGGAGCCAGGTCCAGAAGATTTATTCCGGAAAAACTGCAGCTCCAAGTCCAAAAGGTGGTGGCCTTCTGAAGTCAAGCAAGGCATCTCCAAGTAAGAGCCTCTGATGTTCTTGATGCTAGCAGGCTGCCTCTGGGCACAAAGGTTGCATTCCAGAGGCTGGTTGAAACAGACATCCACCAGTTAGCTAAAAGGCCCTTCTTGTATTACTCTTGTAGGGCTGGGTTTCTGTAACCAGAACCAGACTCCTAAATCAGGCGCCTTATAGTCATCTATGAACATCAAAAGAATTGCCAGGCTGCTGCTCTGACAGAAGCCTCTCTCCACTCATACCAGCCACCCCTTTTTTTAGTTGGTTGCTCTATTTGTTTTTGGAAAGCTGGTACAAGGCAAGGGATGCTCCAAGCAAGCAGATGGCCTGCTCAGCCCTATATGCTGACACTTGGTTTTCCTGAGGTAGATAGAGCCTTGGTGCAGGGAAACAAGGTCAGGTGAAATGCCAGGATTCCAACTATTTCCCATCAGGGACTGTTCTCTCCTAACCATATGCCTGCAAGCAAGCTGAGGTGGCTTCCATTTTCACATACAGGAAGCATCTGCCTGTAGGCCCTGAGGCTGCTGAGGAGTGTGGATGGAGTCCTCAGGACCATAGTCGGAACTTTTCAGCCTTTCATCCTCAATAGTGGGAATACAAAAGTATCAAGTACACTCCAGATGGTTCTTTTTAGGACCAGCACCACAGCCCTGAGATTAGCTTAGTTCAGCAGGCAGGTGGGGAGGAGTATTTTTTTAGACAATTGGTCAGATTACCATCTCTCATTTCCTCACAGTGAAAGTAAAGGAGCACAGTCTTCTGTCCCTGATGCTAGAACAGTTTCCATTTCTCTATGTTTCTGACCCAACACTAACCAAAATGTGGAAGCAGCAGATGGCACAGGTTGAACAGCTCAAAAGGGAAGCACAGAGAGAGAACCGATCCAAGAAGAAACTCCAGGATGAAGTAAGCTCCTGGCCAAGCATAAGTGTGTGAATATACACAGGGAGCTTGTCATCTGACCGCATGATTAACCTTGCTTTGTGTTCTCCTTAAAGATAGAAGAAGCCCTGAGAAGGCATGACCTCCTTACTGCTCTTGTCAAGAGAGAATATGACCATAACAAGAGACTGGTATGTTAAGAACAAACAGTAGTGCCATTTTCTTCATTGGTACCAACTAGGCAGCAGACTCTTGTAACCTGTGGGAGTGGGTATCTCGGGCTTTAACTCAGAACTGATGGGGAAAATATATCCCACACTGCATGGACACAGATTTGAAAACACATAGCAATTTTTATCCCTGCCACATGGCTGTTTTTCACTTCTTTATAGTAACAAATTAGAGATGGCATTTTCTGAGATGAAAATCCAAGCTTTCAGGCATAATGTGAAGTGCCTAGCCTTTCTCTTTGACAAGCAAAAGGCAGAGTTGAAATTTTACCCCATTTCTGTCTCTACCTCCACAGCCCATGTAGGTGCTTAAAATCATAGCTTAGTGCTGTCGTCTCCGATCCCAGGTAGAGAGCCAGTTTTGTAATAATTTGGATTGGAAATCATACTTATCACATCAGTTAATATAGTGACAGGAAATGGCAGAAGTCAATCTGCCAAAGATATTTAAAAATTCTTAGTTGGGAATAGGGTTAAGTCATGGAAATATTAATCTTAGTTTCTAAAAAGCCATCTCCAAAACTGCCTATGGATCTTTACTGAGTCAAGGACATCTAACCCAATAGACAAGAGATGGAATCCGTGGTTCATCAGTACTCAGGGCCCCACTTACTCTGCACAGTGGGTCCATCAGTGCTACTCCACATTTTATGGGATGGAGCTACAAAGGGTGAAGAACCTGTGTGGGCCAGTGGTCTTTTCTGCATGTCCAGCTTACAGCTGGAAGGTACTATTCATGGTGGGTAGCTGAGGGGATGAAAATGGATGCCCAAGCTGGCCTTCTGCTTGCCTTCTTCCCCACCTCCCTAGCAAGACTTCAAGGACCGAATTCACAGACAAAGGCTGACCCAATCAAAGATAAAAGAAAATCGTCATCAAAGTGTTCGTGCCCGAAAATATTACGATGATTACAGAGTTCAGCTACGTGCAAAAATGATGAAGATGAGAACCCGGGAAGAAATGGTATGTGTACCTTTCTGTCTGTCTACCTTTGCTAAGGGGAACTTGTGTTTTATACCAGTCTCTTTGTCTACAACTCTTACCTCAGTTTGGATCCAAAATCCAAATCCAAGTCCCACATGCAGTCAGGATTTGTGCTGGATGGTGCTTCACTGCCCAGCTGTGGATTCCCGTCTACCCTTAGTCTTCATGGCCCTCCTCCTAACATGCAGCCATAATTCCCTCAGACCTCCTACACACGCTCTACAGTACAGCTGCTCTAAGGGCTTGGGAGCACACTGCAGACAACAGAAATTAAGGTATGCTTGCATGATGCAGAAGGACATGCAGGGAATGACCGTGCTGTGAGCTGTTCCCACAAGACACGCTGATTGTCTTAGTCTAATCAAAGTCTGAGGACCCTCAAATTACTGATAAATTCTATTTCTATAGTAAAACTTGGTCATAGTTAAACTGGATTAAATAAAACCAAAGTTTTCCTGAGGAAGATGCTGTTATGGTTTGGGAGGTTAACTTGCCTAAGATAACACAGTAACAAATACATGCTGTCAGCAGTGTCATTTATCCAGAATTCCACCTTATGAATCTCTAGAACAGCTGTTTAATGGTGGCTGCCCAAATGCTGACCCTCACCTTCTCCCGAGTACTTAGTGAGGTGCAGAAACATTTGTGTCCATCTTGTATGACATACATAGATGCTTCAGAAATCCTTCCTGAAGGCAGTAAAGAATGGTACATGAGAGGGTGCTGTGCACCATTCATCAGTAAGAAGGTACAACTGAAAATCACAGCCGACACCACTCACACCCACGGGAACTCACGAGGATGGCTAAAACAGAAGATGGAACGCATGCAGGGCTAGTGGGCTTATAGGGGGTGTGACTGCATTTGTAAATCTGGCAGTACTTCGGAAGACTACCGGAAGGCTAGGTAGGGATAATAATTTTGGATGGATATATGTGCGTGTGTACCCACATAGCAACCAAAATTAAAAATGGTCTGTCTGGTCCATGCCTCTCAGTTTATGTAAACCAAATTTATATTCACACAGTAGAGTGACAAAAACTGACAGCTCTGACCACAGGATCTGACCTTGGAAGTGTGCTGGGTTAAGGCTGTGTTCAGAGCAGGCATGGAGGACAGTAGTGCTGATGAAAATGGGTTTCATGTTTTGAGCGGAGAGTTTCAATTCTGAGTCTACTAAAACCTACTTACAGTGTGTGTATATTTTAAGAGTTAATTTTATGTATGTGAATAATGACAAGGAAAGCTTATTGTGAAAAGCCTTTGTGAAATGCAGTATAATTTATGATTAAATAACCAACAGATCTTTAAGAAACTGTTTGAAGAAGGTTTACAAATTCAGAAACAAAGACTACGAGACCTAAGAAACTATGCCAAAGAGAAACGCGACGAAGAAAAGAGACAGCACCAGAATGAGCTGGACTCAATGGAAAACTACTATAAGGACCAGGTGGGTTTGCTGCCACCACCACCTGTCAGCTTGGCTTAGTTCACTGCTGGCTAATATGCAAATTAGCACAGAGCTTTGCAATACTGGACAGGCTAGACTGATTTGTTTCCAAGGCAAATTTAAGACAGTATCCACAACAGTATCAGCAATGTGTGTTGCCCTATTTCCATTTTGATTTAAGATGGAGTATTAAGAATAACTGCATTGTGATTTGTTTTTCTTCTTCCCTAGTTTTCATTGCTGGCGGAAGCCATCTCACAGGAACGTCAGGAACTCAAAGCAAGACAGAAATCCCAGGCTCAGGTAATAATGGACAGGACAGGAATTAGGAGTTATTCCTAAAAGGAAATAGAAAATATTATTGTAACATCAAAAGAATGGAGAGAAAACAGAGAATCCATCTCTCCTCCCAAGGACCTGATAGGCTCTGATGTTACCAGCTCTGGTCTTGGAAGGGAGCCAATAAATTACCGCACTCTCTGGAAGAACCTGCTAAGAGCAGGCAAATGGGGGGCTAGGGGTGAGAATGGAGGGGCCTGGATGAGAGTCACAAGCTTCAGACTGAGTTCTCTTTCAGACATTACATAAGGTGAAGAGGGAGCTGAGGGCTAAAATGGAGAAGGAAATCCAGCAACTGCAGCACATGATAACGCAGAACGACGATGATGCTTTCTTCCGGGAACTAGAAGCTGAGCGCTTCAAAGCACGGCTGCAGTTGGCTTCCTTCCAGTACAGTAAAAACCCTTTCCCAAGAGGCCAAACTTCATAGGTGATGTTTCCAGACCCCTTAATATGAACAGAGCTAGACCTGAGCCAGTAAACAGTCTAAACAAGAACATGCCTTATTTATGTATTCATGTTAAAACTTAGAATTTTTTTAAAATAAAAACTTTTTCTTAAAGCTTACTGCTTTTGAATTTATAACCTAAAACCTGAGAAAAGGGAATAAAGGCACTTTATACTAAAGCAGTTAGCAAGTCCTGCCAGCCCACTGTGAAGCCTGTTGATAGAGTCAGTAAGTTATTGACTACTAAGGAAATCCAGGACCAAGAACAGCACCTAACAGGCTGTGGATGAAGCCAATAATGGCTACTGTTTGGGGGTTCAGGAGCTATGTAGCCTTAAGTCCTCCTCTGCCACGTAAGAGCTGGCTTCCATCTCCCTACTTCCTGGCCAGAAGAGGTCATCTCTATTCAGGATGACTGGCCTCTTACTAGTCGACTAGAGTTGACCCTGTGCAGAGGCTGGTGGTGAACTGAGTGTAGCAGTGCATGCCTTTATCCCAGCACAAATAAAAGCCATCAGTTTATCATAGCCCACTGGGAACAGAACTCGAAAAACACAAGAAAAGTTTTGTTCTGAGACAGGCTTGCATTCCTATTGTAATTTAGGCTGACCTCAAACTTCTCAAGCCTCTAGCAGGCTCCTGAGTGCTGGGAATTTACAGGCTTGCACCACCATACCTGTCAGGAAAATTACTTTTTATATAGCCTTTTAACTGTAACTAGACAAACCAGTTTAGAGTATTAACACAAAAGGGTAATAACCCTCTGTAATTACTTCCATCTATCCTGTAACTAGTCTCTTGACTTCATGTTATCCTGCTATGATTATCTGGGTAGAAAACCCAAACATCGGGACATGTTTGCCCTTTGTTATTGTCTTTGTTAGGGCTTTACTGCTGTGAACAGACACCATGACCAAGGCAAGTCTTATAAGGACAACATTTCATTGGGGCTGGCTTACAGGTTCAGAGGTTTAGTCCATCATCATCAAGGTGGGAACAGGGCAGCATCCAGGCAGGCATGGTGCAGGAGGAGCTGAGAGTTCTGCATCTTCATCTGAAGGCTGCTAGTGGAAGACTGACCTTCATGCAGTTAGGAGTAGTCTTAAAGCCCATGCCCACAGTGACACACCTCCAACAGGGCCACACGCCAAATAGTGCTACTCCCTGGGCCAAGCATATACAAACCATCACAGTTATAAATAATAGAGGCAAAGTACTGGTTACCACAAAGCAGTCAAATCAAAGTGGTTTGATTTATATACTATTAATTACCAAAGATCTTTAATGTACTGTAACTTTTAGATAAAACCAGTAAACATAGCCATGTGAATCAGAATGTCTACCTACTGGGGAGACACGAACAAACATTTCTTTACCTCAGGACATTGGCAACAAACAATTCCACCCAAATATAATCTGATGAGCCAGTGAATTTACTGGGGCATGCTACTGAAAAGCCGTCCCGATAGGTGTTGACATGAGAGCATCGTCACTGGAGTGCAGCCCCCCTGCAAGAGTCTGCACCAGCAGCTCTTCACCACTGCAGGCCTTCCAAGACTGCATGAACATGCCTCGCAGGGGTTAGTGGGCTTCCTCAGTCCTGGAAACATCCCTCATCCCTCTAGGAAAGAACTGGAGGAAGTAGCTACATATCACTGTCTAGACCTGTCACACATTGCTGCTGTTTGTTTCCAGCTCTTCTGTTCTGTTGCAGCTTCTGCTGTAGAGATTCACAGACCACACTTTATGGTGAAGAGTGAACCCACGTGCATTTCTTCTCTGTCTGTATTTAGCTGTACTCTCATTAACTGGCATTCACAGAGATGGAACTCGCCTCCTTTTCATTTGCAAGACTGTACTGTTTCACACCAAGGCATGCTGGCAAAGGTTAGGCCATCTGCCAACCACAGTGCTGCCCTCCAGGCCCCAGACAGACCTGGTTGCGGATAAACATTTTTCTCTCAGAAGTCCCACCACCTCAAGCCCCCTAACAACCACTGGGAACATCTTAGCTGCCATGGTAGAGAACCACTCCTCTTCCTGCTCCACCTCAGGGCAGCTGGGTCCCTGCATCTACACCCTGAAGGAAAGCAGCACTTTCCTACTCACGGCTTCCTGCTATCACCTGGGAAAAACCAAACATGTTTTTCAAAACAAGTAAAAACTCAGTATCCTTAAAAACCTCGCTGCTGTGACAGTGCAAACAGCATTCATTTTATTGCTCAGCTTCAGCATGGGCACATACATACGTACATAGTTACTCTTTAAAACCATTTATACAGGTGTTATTGATAAAGCTCATGTAACAAATGAGTGAAATTACAAAGAACATCAAGGCTAAAACCTTTGTAATAAATACAATGGAAATGATAAAACTTTGTTTTTAAAGTCAGTTCAGAGAAAAGGAAGAATATTACATAAAGTGAACTAATTACATCTAGAATAAGCAACTCAGCATTTGGTACAATCATCATCCTCGTGTGAGAACATTAACCACCACACATGGCCCCGACAGGAAGCTGCAGCTGAAGGGCAAGGTGCTGTGCTGCTGACCCTGCAGGCACTGGAAGCATCTAACACCCATCAGTGCAATCTGTCTGATGCACTACAAGTTCAGAGCAGATTTAGTGTTGTCAAAGAAAGAAAATTACAATGGATTTAGGAGAAGAGAAATGTGTGCTCTGGCCTGTAAATGTGGGTGGGGTGGGGGAGCAATGTAAAATACTGAGCAACAAACTGCAACACAAAATGTACAGGGTACGCAGCACTACTTTAAAACTGTGCCAGGAAACAGTGGCCCTCTTACTGCAGGTAAGCACAAGGTAACCATTGGTCAGAGTTAAACTTTCCTGATGGAACAGAGCAACTGGAGGAAGGATGCTCGGGAACAGATAAATATTCACATTAAACACAAGGTAAGTCCAGGTTCTGTGATACTGGGGATTTTTGTTTGCTTAGCACCTATTAGGAAGTAATCAGGTAATGTAATTTTGAAATTGAAATCTAAATCATGTTTTCAGATGTCATGTGCTATTGAAAACTGTTACATAGGGCAATTTCCTTTAAAGCTCTGTCAAGTCACTGTAATAAAGTTAAAAGGCACTCAAAAAGCGGTGGGATTTGCCTGCCTTACACTGCATGGAAAACCACTGAAAGCAGCATCTCCTTATCACTGCATCCCTGTCAGTTATGGTCCTCGCTCCTCTGGAGACAGGGTCTCAAGTAGCCTCAAACCCACTGTGAAGGTGAGGCTGGCCTTGACACGCTGACCCCTCTGCCTCCCTAATGATGGGATTACGGGTGTCAGCCACCAGACTGAGCTACACTCTGTCAAGTGTTCCTTAAGACCTTGTGCCAAGCTCAGCAAAATTTGCTATTCTTATTTCACTTCAATGTTTAAAAATAATAGCGCATTGTTCTGAGGTTGAATTCTAAATTCCAATGTGATTTTTTTAATGGTTGTAACCCCTCACTCCAGAAGTTTTGTTACCTTCTAGATCATAGATAAGGTGGGCCACATGCCTTGAAAGCTTAACCTCAATGCCTGAAGCCAGCAGAGTGGCAGCCTGGCCTACACTCCCTCACTTCTAATGAACTCTTCAGTTTTTCATAAATTGTATGATTGACTTAGAGTCACTCTTAATTGAGGCAAGATCTGCCTTGTAGCTCAGGCTGCCCTCAAGATCTGCTATGTAGCTCAGGCTGCCCTCAAACTTGAACTCCGTCCCCCCAACCCCCCGCCAGTTTAGTTTCCCAGGAGCGGGGCTCACAGGCATGGTCAGCATGGCTGACTTCACTCATGTCTGACATTCCTGGTCCACCATGCCCACCACCACCTCCAGCTCATCCAGTGAGGTAAAAGCAGGGCTCTCTACGCTTGCTAAACCTAAGCCATCTTTAGAGCAAAAATTTTCCTTTTAGAAACTTAATTAAAATATAAGTTAGATGTACTTATTAGAGACTTTGGTTTATAGAAATAGCATATAAGAGACAAGCTGACCCAGCAAAGAATGAAAATCCACCCATCACATACTGAGAAGCTACAAAAATGCAGTATTTCAGTTTAAGATGAAAAATCCAAAATACCTGATCTTCTTGATTCAAGAACATGAGGTTTTTTTTTTGTTGTTTTTTGTTTTTGTTTTTTTTTAGGTCATCTTAAAAACAGGGAGGGTAGCAAATAAACTCAGTTTAAATGGTTGCATTAAGAATTTCCAAGAAAGTCATACTTGAAAAATATAAAACCCCACTTAAGCTACGGTGACCCACATAATGCAAAATATAACACTCTGCTATAGAAAAACACAACTAAACATGTAAATGGCTTAATTTCATAAAGGTAATAATCCCTTTAGCCAATTGTTTACAAAGGTGGAACAATCCAAAATAATTTTATTTAGTTTATTACAAAGAGTAAGTATAGGAGCCGTTCAAAAATCATGTTGTCAATCAAAATGAAACGTGACTTGTACCGACTGCTGGAGTTGTCTTGCTGTGCAGGAAAGACACGAGTCTGAGAAGCGATTTGGATAGGTAATCTTGTATAAAAATAGTAGTAGTCTTTTAAGTGTAGAATACTGCCTAACTCTGGAGATGCAGGGGTCAGCATTCTTTAGGTTCAAGGTATTAATTTTTAAATAGCAGCTGAGTGTGTCCTCATGGCAAAGCATAAAGACCTTTATTTTTCCTTGAAAAGGAATTTCAAAATTGTCCTTTCCCCTCACAGTGTCCTAGAATCTAAGGAGCAGGGGAGGGGGCTGTCCTGTATCCCAGCGTTCTCTGAAGCGCTGCTGAAGGAGGCTGTTGGCCAGGGGATAAATAAGAGTTGCAGGTAAGTCCTTGGCGCTCATCATTCCACAGCAAAGCCACATGTCTCCTCGATGGCTGTTAGCAGCTTTTCATAGAGCTTCTCATAGCTTTCATAGGGTGGAATGTCTATTCGATTGAAGCTGTGAATAAGCAAACCAGACTTGATCATTTCTCAGAACAAGTCAACAGTGCAGCAAGGGAGCATTACACAGGCTTTGTGTCACACAAAGTCAGAAGCTGGCAGTCCTCTGAAGCAGAGATCACCACTTTGGGGTTTGCCTTCAGATTTCTGAATAACTTTACTTTTAAAATCACTTAAAAGAAGCGTTCATCATTTCTTTTAAACTAAAACCTACCTACAACGACAGAGAAAAAGCTACAAAAATAACTCACCAAGTGTGGGCTTTTGGCAAGTTGTTCGTGCAGGCATCAATCTGGTGTATGGTAAAGAGCCGTGGGCCTGCAGCACCTGCCAGTGAAGGAATGTGGGTCAGATCACAGCAGGTACACGAATCCATCTCCAAAGCCTCAGAATAAATCAGAACATGCACCACAGGAGCTGAGGAGCACCTTGCATCCACACACTAACTTGAGGGCTCAGGAAAAGTAGCCTGGCTTTGAGGATGTAAGTGATGTGTGGGGTAAGGCCTGGTGCCGTAACATAGGCATTGCTGTCTGAGGAAAAGGCTTAACTGATGTCCCTCTGCCAGCTATGTGCCATAGAGTATCTGCATCCCGAACAATAAGAACACATTTGGTTTGCCTTTTTTTTTTTTCTTTTTCCAAGACAGGAGACAGGGTTTCTTTGTGAAACCTTAGCTGTCTTGGCATTCCCTCCGTAGACCAGGTTGGCTTGTGCCTCCCAAGTGCTGGGATTAAAGGCCTGTGCCACCACTGCCTGGCTTGCTTTTTTTGTTTTTTATTTTTGAAATAGGATCTTGCTGTATAGTTCAAGATAGTCTTAAACTCAAGATCCTCCTGCTTCAGCTCCCAGAGGACTAGGATTGCAGGCATGCTATTATGCTTAAAATACACATTTGAATCATATTTAAAACAATGACACCCTAATGTAAATTTAGGCTTCTGGCTCAAGCCAATCTTAGTGAAGATTAGCAGTCTACAGTCTACATGTGCAGTTAGCACACATGCCCTACAAATACACAAGAGAAGACGACACCATGCTCCACAAATAGGGATGTCCAGGCTTTCTGAGCACTCTGCAGGCAAGAGCTGATACGTTCTGTACTTGTCTCACTGTGTGGATTCTCCCTCCTCACTAGAAGCTTTGAAAACGACGAGCTTAAAGACGAAGAAAGCAATGGCCATCGACTGACACACCACAACCATCACAATGTTACCAACTCAAACAGCTTATTCCACAGAAAAACAATTCTACAAAACTGAAGATGGTTATAAATAAATGGCTTGAAGTCATGTGGTAAATAAAGTGCTCTGAGCAAACAGTTGGCTTTCAAACTTCATGCTGCCTCTCTCTGTTAAAAGAAAGGCAGAGGAGGCATCTCGGGTAGGTGAAGGTTTTTGCCAAGCTGAGATGTGAACATGGAGGTGGATGACCTTCCCTACAGAATTAAAGCAAGGCGACCACAAAATGCAAAACAGAGCACCAGCACAGAGGCTACCCTCCACTCCGAAGCGCACGCTGCCATCACAGAAGCTGTCAGGACAGCCTTTCCAGGAGCTGCGATGGGAGCTCCATATGCAGTCAGAGGGGATCTTTATAAGCACAGGGCTTAGAAAACAGCAAATACCTCAAAAACTGGGATCCGCCCCATCCCACCCCACCCCACTCCTGCAAGAGTGGATGCCAGGTACCCATGCGCCCATCCCGTGACATCTCACCTTGTAGTGCTTTGAAGCCCTGCAGAGGCACTCGAGAGGACCCTGTCACAAACTGGAGTAACCGTGCTCGTCTCTCTTCATCAAAAAACTCCACAGCTTTCCAGAACCACTTGACCACATTGCTGTCTGGGGTACAGTGTTTTAACCGGGTGTTGACCTTCCAGTCACTCACGTCAATTTTGCCAAGTCCACAAATAATGAGCTGTTGAAACATTTGCAGGAGTGGTGAGCCAGTGGACATCAAAGCTGGGCCTCCCAAGACTTCTTAGATTTGCAGTGAGCATTCCCCAAGTGGTACACAGCCAAATTATCTGAAAAGCTTTTCAAAATATATACAACAGACCCTATACTGCAGAGATTCTAACTCTGTGTCTGGTGGCAGCAGGTCTGAATCTTTTTTTTTTTGAGACAGAGTTTTTCTCTGTGTAACCTGGAACTCACTGTTGACCAGGCTGCCCTCAAACTCAGGGACCTGCCTGCCTCTGTCTCCCGAGTGCTGGCATTAAAGGCATGTGCCACCACTGTTCTGTGAGGGTCTGTATCTTTAAACCTCCAGAGGCATCTACTCATTGTAGGTCCTGTTCCCAGTGTCTGACAATCACTGTAATGGACTCTGACAAGATCAAAGATTTATAAGAATTCCAGTTTAAAAATACAATTCTAAAATTTTAAAACATTAGACAGAAATCAAGACTCAGTAAACACAAGCTGGGTGTAACACCCCATGCCTATAATCCCAGCACTTCAGATGCTGAGTCAGGAGGATCAACATGAGTTTAAGGCTAGCCTGAGCTACTACCTTGTCTCAAAAAGAGGATGAGAAGAAATAATGTAGAGGTTTATCTGTGCCTTTCTTAGGCCTGCATTGATTTACATTAGTTCTAACACTGTTAGCTTTGCAACTGGAGGCAGTTCAATTTTACGGTGTTGTTTTCGCTAATCCCACAGTCACCTCTACCTTATTTCACACGGGAAAATGGTTAAGAGTGTGCAGCAAAAAGCTTGTTGGATACATAATATAATTCACTTAGCAACTTTGAAATTATATTAAAATGTAAAAACTCGAGGGCCAGGCATTGTGGCACACACTTTTAAACCCAGCATTCAGGAGCAGAGGCAGATCTGCTGAGTTGGAGGTCAGCCTGGTCTACACAAAGTGAGTTCTAGAATAACCAATGCTACATAGAGAAAACTTTGTCTTGAAAAATAAAATAAACAAACAAACAAACACACACACACACAAATTCTGCTGTAGTATTTCACTTGACATCCTGATACAATCAATACATAAGAACTATACCAAAGCCAGGCAGTGGTGGCGCATGCCTTTAATCCCAGCACTTGGGAGGCAGAGGCAGGTGGATTTCTGAGTTCCAGGCCAGCCTGGTCTACAGAGTGAGTTCCAGGACAGCCAGGGCTACACAGAGAAACCCTGTCTCGAAAAACCAAAAAAAAAAAAAAAAAAAAACCCAAACAAACAAACAAACAAAAAACAAAAACAAAAAAACAAAAACAAAACAAAACTATATATACCAAAGTCAGTTGGATACTAGTAACATATCTCTTCGGAGTCCAATACTAAACTATATATGTATAAATATTCAAATCTTCATGTCTCAGGCCAAGTGCTATATTACAGCCATGCTCCACCACTCGCAACAAACCTCACTATTTCTTTCATAGCAGTTCAGTTTTAAGTTGGATATGTTTACTGTGGTACTCCAAGTGTCAGCTTCACACAAAAGGGATTAACTGTTCAATACAGAGCTGAGTACTGTTGTTATATGGGTGTTTGCAAAGGCCCAGGAATGGTTAAACATATAATTTGATCATTTCATTTTTCTAAATGCATTCTAGCAAAGATGAGCAACTAGTTGAGCTTGACATTTTATTCAAATAAATTTCAGTATGTTAGAGACAAAGTAATATACTTAAATAAGCCAATTAGATCAAGAAATGACAAAAAGTTGGGAAAAGGGCCCAGACTGCAGGATGGCTCAGTGGGTAAAAATACTTGCTAAAAGTATTTTAAAATACTTGCTAAAAGTATTTTAAAAGTATGGTAACCTGAGTTCAATCCCCAGAACCCACATCCATAAAGAGAGAACTGACATCACAAAGCTGTCCTCTGACCTCCACATGTGCACCATGGAAAGAATTTTAAATGGGAAGAGCGTCTGTGTGACTTGAGAAGGAAAGGGACTTGAGAGGCGGCTTAGCTGGTGGAGTGTATGACTCTCTAGGCTTAATCCTAGAACTCAGTGGGGAGCAGAAAGCCAGCAGTTAAAGGTCATCCTCATCTACATAGTCCCAGACTAGTTAACAAGAAGGAAAAGGATATATAAATTAACAATGTCTCCATGCGGGGCTGGAGAGATGGCTCAGCTTGCTATACTTTTAGAAGAGCCAAGTTTGGTCCCTAGCTAACAATCACCTGTAACTACAGCTCCAAGGGATCTGACCTCTCTGGTCTCTGAGGGAACCTGTACCAATGTGCACACTATCTACACACACACGGACACGGACACACACACATGTACACACAGACACGTGCGCACACACTCATATACCCATAAATAAGAGATTGCTTACCTACAGAAATTCCAAAGCCCAAAATATTTCCTGTAAGAATTCTCAGAGGATTGACTCCTGAAACTCTGAAAACATTAGAAAGTACCACATTCCTCTACAGACAGCAGCAGAGTCACAATAGTAACACACTGACCTCCAGCTCCTTCTCATCAAAGGTCTTCAGCAGATGCTGTGGAATGACTTCGTTAAATCCCTTCTGCAGCGCCAGGAACTGAGCTTCAATGCCTCGCAGAAATCTCCAGTTTACGTAAAGCCTGAAACATTGGTCAGGGGCGTCATGTGACTGCATAAACTCAGATTTGGTAATTGCCATAAATATCTACTTTGGCAACTTTAAAGTATCTATCATCAAAATTTTCGTCTAATAGGGCTGAGATACAGGTGAGCTGGACAGTCCTGCTCACAGGCACAAGACCCTGGGTTCAATCGCTGGTCTGAAGACAAAGAATACTAAAAAAGTAAAACAATTTAGTCTAATGTCTAAAAAAAGTTTAAAACTAAAGGGACAAGTGGACCCTGAGTACTGAGACAACTCAATGCACTACAAAAGCAGTACGTTCAACCACTAGCCAGCAGCCTCAGGGAGCTACTCTTCAAGACTTGTAATCCCAGTCACCAGGAGGGCTGAAGCAGGAGAATCAAACAGTTCAAGCCTTGCCTGGGCTAAGGAGTGAATTCAAGGAAGCCTGGGCATTCAGTGAGACCTTGTCTTAACTTTAAAGTAATCAAGAGGAGATGCAGCCCAATGGCAGAGCCTTGCCAACACAGGCAAAGCCTTGCACTTAGCCCCCAGCGCTGCTGACTGACTAAACAAAACAACTCTTCCAATCAGAAAAACCTCCTAGTAAACTGAACATCTACTACAACTCAGGGTCTGAAGTTCAACTTTAGTTCAGATTTGTTAGTTACCATAAATATCTATTTTGGTAATTAACTATAATAACTTTAATAACTTTTCTAATATTTAAAAAAAAATTCATTGGTGTTTTGCCAACATGGATATCTATGTGAGTGTTAGATCCCTGGAGGTACAGACAGGTGTGAGCTGCCATATGGGTGCTAGAAATTGAATCCAGGTCCTCTGAAGAGCAGTGAGTGCTCTTAACTGCCAAGCAATCTCTCTAGCCCCAACATTTCTTCCTTAATTTATACTACACAAGTTAATAAGCAGAATAAAGAGCTCAATCTCTTGAAGACTGACCATTCCTGGGACGGGGGTCAAGGGGTGACTTGAGAATGCTGTCAGAGCATGTGAGGAGCTCTGTCTGTTTATTCAAGAGGAAGAGAACAGGAAAGGAGGCAAGGTGGGAAACTAGTAAACCCAGAGAAGATGCTGTCAGAATAATGCTCACTGTTCCCCAGAAGCTGGGAAACCTTGGAAGATGTCAACTCACCAACCAAAATACATTAAGATACTACATCTTTTGTGAAACTTCCCTTGTACCTTTTAAAATCTGTTTTTTGAGACAGGGGTTCATTAAAATGTTATATATGGTATGTGTGATGAATAAATATGTGTATTATTTGTGACTCACAGGCTGGCTACAGGACAGTCAAGGACGACTTTCTATACACCTGATATTCCTGCCTCCTGAGATCAAAGGTGTGCATCAACATACCCAGCTTAAGAATATTTCTGGGCTAACTTTTAATACTAACTGAACATTCTTATTCATACTTAGCTGCATGTATGTTTCTGTAAAAGGATTCTAAAAATGGGGTTGCTTGAAGGGTAATTTTCATGCTCATATAGAACCTGGGCTGCCCAGTGTGTCACTTCACAGCAGAAATCATGTTGGCCACAAGTATATGTAGACCAAAAAAATATCAGGCACAGGCTGGAGAGATGGCTCAGCAATTAGGAGCACTGGTTGTTCTTCCTAAGGACCTGAGTTTGATTCCTAGTGCCCACAGGGCAGCTCACAACCATCTGTGACTCTAGTACCAGGGAATTTGATGGCCTGCTTTGGCCTGCGTGGGCACCAGGCATGCACATGTTGCACAGACATACAAGCATGACAAACATCCAGACCTAGACACAACTTGGGAGGTAAAGGCAAGAGGATCAGGAATTCAAGGTCATTCTCAGCTACACAGCAATTTGGAGGCCAGGATGGGCTATAAGACGCTGTCTCCAAAAGGGGGTAGGAAGGACTACTAGCTTCTGAGCTTTGGAATGTCAGCAGCCCATGAGAAAGAAGCCTATTTTACTGAGAGGCCAAGAAAAGGAGCAGCCTTTGATACCACACTGGAGTCCAGTGAACTCAGATAAAGCCAGTCATTTATGCCATCCTGGCTGAGGCCTCAAATCTAAGAGCCAGAAGGCCCACTTTGGCCTTTTAACCCTAGCTGACAGCTTGTGGACTAGCAGTGCACCGTACCTATTATTCTCAGCCCAATTATCAATCCCAGGAATGAAAAAATAGTCAAGAGTGGGAGTTTTTAAGTCATTTAATTCCACAGAAGTTTGTTCAGCAGTAACATTTCATAAACACTGTTTTTCTATATTGATATTCTGGAGCTGTATTTTTTCCCCCTAATTCAAACATTTACCTGACATATTCTTTCTTATTTTCTTCAGTGACGGGGATACTTTTACCATTTGGTTTGAGTTCATGCTGAATAATTTCACCATATGCATTATGTTCAACACAGAAGGTATGGTCCAGAACACCTGTGATATCATTTTCACTAGATAAGAAGCAAAAAAGACACATTAACAGGGGAACATATCTCACATCTCCGACAGTGTGCTCTTAGTGAGGTGTTCAGCTAAGACAGTACTGCATGCGATACAGCAGTTACAGGACCAAACTCCTCCCACCAGTTCTTATGCTAGCCTGCCATATTCTCTTGCAGAGAAAAGTCAAAGAGACTTCTCCTTATAAATACAGACAGCATTTTACTTCCTGAGCAACAAGAATGGGTTCTGTCAAAGAGACACTCTTTGAGAACAACAATACATTTCTGGTATCCAGATAAAAGGCTCTTCTGAACATGAGCACCCTAAAGAGAACAAGCACTTGAGTCTCTTCTGTGAGAAAGTGATCTGTGAATTCTATGAAACTGAGCCCCTTTCCCATGCAGAATCAGCTAGCAGTTCTTACTTTGGTTTTTTTGTTTGTTTGTTTTTTGTTTTAAAGGATTTTTTAATTTAATTTTTTTTTTATTTTATGCATGAGCACACCACCATTGCTCTCTTCAGACACACCAGAAGAGGGCACCAGACTCCATTACAGATGGTTGTGAGCCACCATGTGGTTGCTGGGTATTGAACTCAGGACCTCTGGAAGACAAGTTGGTGTTCTTAACCACTGAGCCATCTCTCCAGCCCCAGTTCTTACTTTGTAAAGTATGGTTCCAACAATCATTGCCTTCATTAAAATGAAATAACAGGACAGGCAAGATGTGGAAAGAATACTGGCTGTTCTTCCAGAGGACCTGAGTTTATTTCACACTAAGTGTGAAAAGGGCTCACTGCATGACTATAACCTGAGTTCAGTCCCTGGAACCTACATGGTAGCAATTTTGCTACTATTCACTAGTATTTAGAATTTACTATTTTATCACATGGTGGCTGAGACAGAATCCACCTTAGTCTTAGGATACTATTACATATAGTGCTTTAGCTTAAAACAAACAGCACTTTCAGCCTGGAAATCTAAAATTCAAAATAAAACACTTAAAAATTCCCATCAGGGTATGCATGTAAAGTATGTATGAAATGAATTGTGTTTACACTAGGACCCCATTCTCCAAGTATCTCAAGGATATGCAAACATTCTAAAACTGGTGAGGGGATCAAGATTAGAAATACTTCTCGTCCCAAGGACTTCAGATAAGGGATGATCAATCTGTAGCAGATTTGTTTTCCTTTCAAAGTAACAACATGAGACTCCTGAAAAGGCCTAGATCAGGTCTCAAAGTCTGCTACCAGCCAAGCCTGGTGTTTCACCAAAGAAGCTTCTTTTTTCAGCAAATGGAAATTATTACAGAGATTCACAACTAGACATAATGCCAAGAGTAAGTGACCATGGGCTGTCCAACCCAACTTGATAATCTACAATGCAACCCCACACACAAGGCCCAGGAAGATGTCAGAAGAGAGCAAGCAGATCCCAAGAGCCACAGACCAGGAGACCTGCCATGAGACAGTGTCTCCTAGACATGACAGGACAATTCCACAATAAGGTCTTGCCTAAACAAGACCTGCATAGTGACAATACTAGTTGTCATGCCAATATGGAGGGGGAAATCTCTCAAGGCTCCCCACCTAGATGGAGAGCTACCGGCAGTCGATGACTGTTGAGAAGAGAATCGGTTTTCTCCAGGGATGAGTGACCAGATAGGTTACCTAATCCCAAGTAATCCCTACATACAGATACATACTAGCAATACTAAATGAATTCAACATGTGTGTGAGCTCATGTATGTATGTATGTGAGTGTGTGTGTATGTACGTACATACATGTGTGTATGTATGTGTGTGTATGTATGTATGGATGGATGTGTGTAACTTCAGTTTGAGGGGACCTGACACCCTTTTCCAGCATCCTCAGACACTGCATACACATGGTACACAAATATGTATGCTGGCAAAACACTTATGCACATTAAGAAATATTTTTAAAACCTTTTAAAGTAATAACATGGGCTGGAGATATACCTCAGTAGTAAAGTCCTTATCATACTAGCCTCCCTTTCAGGAATCTTAAATGTGCACAGAACAGCAGACTGGGCGTGGGGTAGGAGGAGACTCTTACATGGTTTTATCATAAACCACACTTAACATTTTCTGTGCATATTTCAAATTAAAAAAAACAAGTGCGTTAGTTTTGAAATGTATCTTATGTTATTATTTGCTTTTAAAAAGTGTATTATTATTATTATTTTATCTTGGCATGTATAGGTGTTTGTCTACATGTATGTGTGAGCACCACATGTGTGCCTAGTGCTTGAGACCAGAAAAATGAAACAGATCCCCTGAAGGTAAAGTTACAGACAGTTGTGAGCCACCATGTGGAGCTGGGAATTGAACTCAGGTCCTCTGGAAGAGCATCCAGTGTTCTAGCCACTGAGCCATCTCTCCAGCTTTTCTTTTTCAGTGTGTTGTGAGGCTGTCCTTGACTTCATGATTCTCCTAGACCTCCCAAGTTCAGGTTTTATAGGGATGAACTATCAGATATAGCTTGTATTTTTAAGATTTACTTTCATTATTAACTGTATGTAAGTGTTTATGTATGGGTATGAATGCCCAAAAAGGCCAGGTTAGATGTCCTGGAACTAGAGTTCCAGGAAGCTGTGAGCTACCTAACATGAGTCCCAGAAATCAAACTCAAGTCAGTCAGTTCTCTGGCAAGATCAGTACATGCTCTTAACTGATGTGGTTCAGCAGTTTTTGTTTTGTTTAAATTTTTTTTAAAGATGTGTATGTGGGTGTGCCTGTGTGACTATGTAGACTGTGTATGTCAGGTGACAGTGAAGGCTGAGGAGGCATCAGATCCCCTGAAACTTCATGATCTGCCTCATGAAGAGTCCTGGGAACTGAACTGGGTCCTCTACACGAGCAATAAGGGCTGTTAACTACTGAGCCATCCCTCCAGCTCCTAGCTTGTATCTTTTTAAAAGCTCAGATGCTAACTATGATAAACGGATGTAAGATTCAATACATACAGTATCCACACCAAACTATTATGAAGGTCTGGATCAACTAACTCCATGTCGTCCAAAGTAATTGACTTCCCAAGCAACTGTTTATAAAAAGGTAATGTGAAACCACCATCAATATAATGTCCATGGAATACAGCCATTCCCATTATTCGTCCAACAAAGTGGAAATAGGATAAATGTTCCTGAAATGAAAAAAAAAACAGAAAAGAAAGAAATACTCGTTAGATACTCTTCAGTAAATTGTCTTCCTCTCCCCTCCCCTCCCCGATTTTGTCTGTCTGTCTCTGAGTCAGGGCTTTACTCGCAGCCCAGTCACTTTCCCCACTGCTGGGATTACAGGTATGAGGCACCACGTCCACATCTCTCTCAGGGCAAAGGCCCTTTAGAAAATGATTCCTTGACAAACATTTGAGAAGCTACTTGCACATCCTGTTCTCTGAGTACATTGTCAATAAACCTGTTAATCCTTTCACTGCTTCCTTGACCAGCCCGAGACTGAACTTCAGGACACCATGGATTTAAGACGTGGATTTAGTCTCCCACTTGGACTAGTCTACAGACTACTGTCTACACAAAAATTAATGAGTCCCTATGGGACTAGTCCACACTTGGATATACAAGGAATAAAGACAGTATCCAGAGAGAATACTCATGAGGAGAACAGCAAGGTGATGGAACCCAGGGGACTGAGTCTACTCCTGGAAGCACCCAGCATAGGTCAGATGACAGGCAGATGGACAGTAGTGAGCTGTCAAGCAGCAGCTTCACCTTAACCAATAACTTCCTAACGAGCTTTGGTCACCACATGTAGATACAACTGTACTTTCACCAGACTGTTTGGTTGGTTAGCTATCTGTACTTTTAGATTATTTTGCTTTTCCATTTAATAAGTAACCTTTAACTTTAAAACTTGTTTTATCTTTAAAATATCTATTTTAAGAAATACATGCTTACTTTAAAATATTTAGATAAACCAAACACAAGCAAAGAGGACATTAAAAATTACCCATTATCGAACACCCAGACAAAATGATTATCAGTTTTACGGCATGGACCTTTTAATGTTTTCTCTTACATGTATCTACTCATTATTATTTACTTTTCATTTAACACCACTTAATGTATAGTAAACACACATCAGTATCACACATCCTCTTATCTCACAGTGTGCCCTTGCATAAAAACAGAACAGAGATAATTAGAGTAACAAATTAGCTGTAACTACTGACACCTGGACGAGAAGCTAGTGGCAGGGATCAAACTTGGGCCTCACAGATGCTAGTCAACAACACAACCACTGAGCAACAGCCCCAGCCTGAACTTTGAAGGATTTAATAATGTATTATTATAGGATTGAATGCTTAATATGCAGAGTCTCATGTAACTCTCACAATCCCTTACTAAGGTGCAATTCTTCCCATTCATTTTTAACAATAAAATAATTGAGGTTTAAGGAAAATAATTATACCACAGTCACAAAGATAGTAACTTAATATAACAAGACTATGATTCTACATCTTTTTGTTTTCAGAAACATGGTCTTACACCACAATCCAAGCTGCCCTATAACCTGGTAAGAGCCAGGTTGGCCTAGAACTTTCATGATCTGCTGCCTTAGCCTGGAAAGCACTGGGATCTCAGGCATAAGCCTGCATACCCAGAGACTTCATGTCTAATTTCATAATCTGTGTTGGTTTCTTTCCTTTTTTTACTTTGAAACAGGGTCTCACTATGCAGTCCAGTCTAGTCTCAGCCTTCCAACTGATGTGATTACAAGCATACACTACTAGACCCAGATCAAGAACAACCATTCACACTATTTTATGTCATAATTTAACCAATCCTCTGCATAGACAACTGTGTTGTGTCCAATGGGGAATAATCAATAGCAGATAGCCTAGTGTCCCAACGCAGCACACAGCTATAATCATTTACTAGGACAACTTTCAAAAAGAACTGCTGAATCAGTGGGTGTGGCCAGGATCAGCCACGTGATTCCTCACAATGCCATTACGGATGAGAGCAGAGTGGATCCCAGCACATCCACACTATTGTGACCACAGCTCATACCGGATTAACTGCAGAGTCAGGGTTGATCTGCAGTGTGTAGATATCATCTCTAGAATATTGGAAGAGACCGTAGTAAGGATTCAACATTTCATGCGACAGGAGGTACAACCATTCCCTAGAAAACAAGATAAAGTAATTTGTTAATTAAGATATGCCATTAGTCACTCTAGTAAATGATTTTTTTAATTTTTAAATTTGATTATTATTATGGGTATGCATGATGTATGTAAATACATATCTCATGGAATACATGTGGAAGTCGGAGGACAACTCCATGGAGTTGGTTCTCTCTTATCACTCATGTGGGTTTGGGGACTCAACTCTGACTGCAAAGCCAATTTAACCTGCTGGACTTTACCCAGGCTGGACTCCAACCCAGAGGTCCACCTGCATCTGTCTCTCAAGTGCTGGGATGAAAGGCATGCTGCATTATGCCCAGTTTCCACAGTTCTTTTCAGTTAAAAGAAAACACAGTACTAACTGTGGTTCTATAAAAATCACAACAGAAAATGAATCCTTAAAGAGCAAATATACTTACTATTATACAGTTACTGTTCATAATTTGGAACAACTTTATTATACTTTTGCAACAGTGAATATAAAGGTACTACTTACAAGTTCAGCTGTTCATGAGATGCTGTGACTCTCTAGTTTGATCACTTTAAATGTTATATAAGATTTATAACCCATAATAAATCATCTAATGTCTATTTCTATCAGGACAGATTCATACTAGATTCACAATGATACATAATACAATAGGCAGGCAGATCCCTGTGAGTTCAAGGTCAGCCTTGTCTACCTATCAAATTCTAGGAAGGTCAGGGTATATACAGAGATCCTGTCTCAAGAAAGACACATAACACAGCATGAATTTATCTTCCTTTTTGGGCAGTGGAGTGCTCTGTAGCACTGTTTTAGTAAAGAAGTGTCAATGTCGATCTCATCATCGTTTACGGTATAAAGTCTAAAGCAAAGCATGAAGCACATTCAGATCCCAAAGCTTTGGGTATACGTGGACACTGGTATTCTTTGGGCATGCTCCATACGACTTCTCTTCCTTTGTGGTGTACTGGAGATAGACTATAGAGCTCTACACATGCTAGGCAAATGCTCTACCACTGAGCTGTACCCCAGTCCTCTTACTTCTGTTTCTTTCAGATAGGTCTTGTTTGCCTAAGCTGGCCTTAATTTACTCTGTAGTCCAGGAACAACTTGAACTTGGGATACTCCTACCTCCGCCTCTCAAACAGTATCAGGATGCCACCGAAGCCTGTTCTAAACCTAACCCCTTTTTCTAACCTTTCTTGATTTCAAGCGTATGTCAATGTTTTTGTTTGGTTTGTTTGTTTGTTTGGATACAGGGTTTCTCTGTATAACAGTCCTGGCTGTCCTGGAACTCACTCTGTAGACCAGGCTGGCCTCAAACTCTGCCTGCCTCTGCTGCCAAAGTGCTGGGATTAAAGGTGTGCACCACCATGCTTGGCTGACATCAAAGCTTTTAAAACCTCAATATGAATAGCACTACTACCAATTTAGCAAATACTTCATATTTTTCAATGAAATATGCTTGTCATTTTGGTGACAATGAAATAACTAGTCTAGGACTTAATACTGTTAACAAATTAAAAGAAAATGTTTCACAATTCTATGATGTGACAAAGGTCAAATCAAATTACTATTATGTGACAATAAAAAATGGACTGAAGAGCAAAGCCAGGATGTGTGTCTCTACACACACAGCCTCCACTGCACACCACAAACCTGATGAATGTGCTATGCTTTGCTTGTGTGCTGTTGTGTGAATCTATGCTTTTTTTTAAAGAAAGATGAATTTTTGTTCTCATTTTCCCACGTGTTTAGATTATGCATAGAAGCAAAACTGACCATTTTTGATCTACTACAAACTAAAGGTCAGACAACGCAGCTCACTCATTCATCTCCGCATGCCATTTATCCTTCCTACATCTATAGTAATGAGGTAATTTTAAAAAGACTACTCACCTGACCTGTACAATAGCTGTCACTAGCAGATAAATGTTTTCCTAACATTGAAATTCAATTTCTGAGTAAATAAACCCATAGTAATTAAAGTTCTAAAATTTACATGCAAAGATATTTTCTAAAACTCTATGCAGCAAATGGATAGAACTAGAAAAGATCTATGGAATGAGGTGACCCAGAAAGACAAGCACTGCACATTCTGTGATTCCTAACTACAAAGCTTCAGATAGAAGTATATAACCTGGAGTAATTGCAGAAACTGGGAAAGGAAGAAGGGCCATGGGAGTTGGGGGAGGGCTGGAGAGAGACGTAGCAGGATAAAGGTGATATAGAAAGGGAAATGCGGTGGAAATCTAATTGGAAAGGAAGGTGGGATAAATAACACCAAGGTTATTTGACAAAACCCCAAGAAATAATATTATTTTGTATTTACCTAAAATTATATGTAATACATATAAGCACAGGAGTAGACAGAAAGATAAAGTTATGCTACTTGGGCTGATGATACTCCTCAGAAGAGCCATTAGAGTACTTTATAAAAACTCCAATACCAGGCATTTGAAACCTTGCTGCAGTTGTTGGCCAGTGTATCTAAGTGACTCCCAAAATAATAGAAGCTATTGCTGTTGCCTTTGGTTGCCTCTCAAGAGGTTGAAGGTAAACCCCTGAAAACACTGTACGCCCAAGACACAGAATTCAGAAGATTTGAGCTGCATCTAACCCAAAAGTGACAAGTCTAACAGTCTTGCTTTCATAGTATTATGCAAGGTGTCAAGGAAGGGATGCAATCAATAGTCACAATATCCAGCTATGACACCATGAACTATAACAATGACCAGCATGGCCAGATATGCAAAAAGGTACAATAGTGGCACACCTGTCTTAGTGATAACTCACAACTGCCTAATTACACACTAGGCCCACTCAACAAGAGGAAAATCATGCATGGTACTAAAAACCTACCCAACTACCAGAGATTAATGAAGTCAGGAATCTTAGAAGAGCCAGAATTACCACCATTCTGCTAGATCAGCATAATTCCTAATTTCATTCTAAAATTTACCTTTTTACCTACAGATATGTGTAACTCTCATCCTTCTTCAGAGAAGCTTTTCTTTATAGCAAATGGAGACAATTACAGAAAACCACAACTGGTCATAATTCAGAGACAAATGGATCATGGGGAACCCAACCCCAATGGATAGATACATCTACAATACAACTTCTTCACCTAAGGTTCAAGGCAGATTTCAGAAAAAGCGTCAGGAAGACTGTAAGAGCCAGAGGAGCAGGAAGTCTGCTGTGAAATATGCCTCCTAGAAAAGACAGGAGAGCTACATCCATGACATTGCAATGCTGTGACTACTCAACAAAACCCAAATGACAGTATCAACAGACATGCTAATATCGGAGGAAATCTCATGGGAGCGCAATCCCAAAGTACTAAAGGTAACTAATGACTGCTGGGAGAGAGAATTCGTTTCTCCTAGGGATGAGACTAGTATGAACTGGTTATCCAATACAAACTCGTCAAGCCTGAAATCATATACATCCAAACCACACTAAACATACTCACACTGTGTTGGACTTATATAGTTATACAGTTATATAAATATATATGTAACAATAATAAATAAAAAGAGGCTATTAATTTGAGAGGGCATGAGAGGGGCTAGAGAGAAAGAGGAGAAAAATAATAGTTATAGTTTAACTTGTAAGTTTTAATAAAAGAAATAACCTAAACAGACACAAATATTAAAATTCTATAAAACCACATAAAAGTTATGAAAGAACTATAAAGTAAAGAAAGTTCACAAAGCGCACATTTTTAGGTAAAGCCTGGTAAGCACAAGCGGCACTAACAATTATAGGACTTGGTGAAAACAGTTTACTTAGGCTGGATTTAGAATAGGAGAACCAAGAGTACTTAGCAGTCCTTACAATAGTTCTGTCCAGGGCTGTGGGTCTCCTACATTCATGTAAAGTAAATGTCACACCTGAAAAAATCCTCACAGCATACATGCCATAGAAAATAAGTTGGATTCAATGTATGATTAAGAACGTAACAGAGGGCTGGAGAGATGGCTCAGTGGTTAAGAGCACTGACAGTTCTTCCAGAGGTCCCGAGTTCAATTCCCAGCAACCACATGGTGGCTCACAACCATCTGTAATGGGGTCTGGTGCCTTCTTCTGGTGTGTCTGAAGACAGCAATGGTGGTGTACTTATATGCATAAAATAAATAAATAAATCTTAAAAAAAAAAGAACATAGCAGAAACAGCATATAATACCTTCTCTATAAGAATACTCTTAAAGACCATTGTGAGATATACATGTATTTCACATATGAGTAAGCAAATATAATACATCCTTGTTTAGCAAGCAAGGGAAACAGCTTTCAGTTTAAAACTGACAGTGAGGCAGAGGAAACAAGATATACTGAAGATGTAAAAATACAGGCCAGCCAGCCCTACAGAGTCTTGCAGGGCATCTACGATCCTGAGTTTTAACTACACTTCTGTTATTGTCATCTCATTGTGAATGAATCCACTGGGATTGTATCTGTATTGCAAACAGTGGGCAGTTTTATACTTGAAGGTTTGTGATAGTTATAAGTTATAGGCATATCTTAATTTTGTTTAGTACAAAGATCCAAATGGAGGCTGAAGAGATGGTTCAGTAGTTAAAAGCACTGTCTGTCCTTGCAGAGGACCTGGGCCGTGCTCCTAACACCCACAGAGTGGTTCTAACAGTCTGCAACTCAAGTTCCACAGAATCCAATGTCCTTTTCTGGCCTCCTTAGGCACTGCATGAACATGGTACACATTCAGACACACAGGTAAATACTTACACAGATTAACTATAAATAAATATATAAAACAAATGATTGATTGAATGAACGGATAATAAATAGATATTCATGTACTTACCTAGCAACTCCTCCATAGTCAAGGCCTTCTTCTCCACGAAATTTTATCATTAATCGCTTCCATAGATCCTTTGGCCTCATTTTCATGACCTGTCGATATGATTCCTGAAAAATAATTTTAATATACTATCATCATTAGGTGCTTTAGCCTCTAATTTAAAAGTTTTCTTCTCTTCCAATTCACAAAACTCATAGGCACCAGTAGAAACTAAAAGAATCACAGTTCTAAAAGAACATAAGTAAAATAATATATTAACCACATAGACAGGGTCTATATATTGGGGACAGGGTCAAGACAGACTCTTACAAACCCCAGACCGGCCTTGAACTCTCTATGTAGATAATGTTGGCCTATGGACGGCCTGGAAATTGCTATGTAGACTAGGCTGGCCTTGATCTTGCAGAGATCCGCCTGTCCGCCTGTCTCTAATTCCAGAGTGCTGCGATTATATAGTTAGGTGTGGTGTCACATGCCTTTATCTATTTTTTTTTTAAATGGGCTTACTTCACTTTTTCTTGTATAAAAATCCCTTTATGGTAGCCAACAGCTGCATCCTGGCTCTTCTGTACAGAGACCCTAGTATGAATATTATAAGATAATCAGGTAGTTCCTGATAGGAAGAATTGGTGAGCACATCTGTTTCTCAAGGTCTAGGGTAGCTGTAGATCTTGGAGATGTCATCAAAGGCAGCCCTGGATGGCCATGGTCAATACTGGCCATCAATAACTTCTTGGACTCAGGTGCTTACACAATACCAGTGCCTCTGGGCCAATGGGCTATTACCTCGCTTGGGATTTGATTGTCTCACTTCCTTGGTAGTACCAAGACAATGGAAAGTTTATCTAAGGTGATGGATGCATGAATGTTGGTGGCTGTCTTACTGGTGTACCTAGCACTGACATCAATGTGACCATTGTAGTCTCCAATGGCCAATATATGCCTTGAACCCAAAGACCGTTTCTAAAACTGCCTTATTAATCTTCACAGCCTTAGTCATGAAGAACACCCTAAGAAATTATCTGGAGGCTGATGGACAAGAAGAAAGAATCTCTGGCTAGGGACCTGATTGGGTTTTGTTTTTAAAGAATTATTTACTTTATGTATATGAGTGCACTGTAGCTGTCTAAAGACACACCAGAAGAGGGCATCAGATCTCATTACAGATGGTTGTGAGCCACCATGTGGTTGCCGGGAATTGAACTCAGGACCTCTGGAAGAGCAGGCAGTGCTCTTAACCATCTCTCCAGCCCCACTCCCAACCCCTTATTAAAGATTATTTTTATTTTTACTCAGGTGCATGTATTGGTGTCCATGGAGGTCACTGCATCCCTGGATCTTGAGTTATAGGTGGTTGTGAGCCATCTGACATGGTGCTATAACTAAACTCAAGTCCTCTGGAAGAAGTACTTTTAACAGTTGGGTTGTTTCTCCAGCCTCCAATCTTTATATTCTTGACCACAGAACGAGAAGGATCTACTTCTTGTTTCAAGACTTACTTCCCTCCACAAATTGCAACACTGCAGCCTTGGCCATGACTGTGATCCCAGCCCAAGTGTGCTTGCAGTCTCTAAGGAAGAATCCCCTGCCTCCCAAACCTGGGAACCTGGGACCTCTGGATCTTTCCAGTGCACAAGATCACCTACTATTATATAGTGTTTTCCATTCTCTTTTTATCATTTTGAAATACAAATGACACTGTAACCAAGGACAAAAAGCTCATCGGGGTAGATCTCTCTGAGTTTGAAGCCAGCCTGGTCTACAGAGTGAGTTTCAGGACAGCCAGGGCTACACAGAGAAACTCTCTCTCTGAAACACACGTGTGCGCACACAGACAGACAGACAGAGGAAGTGAGAGAGACCGTGGAGAGAGAGAGAGAGAAAGAGAGAGAGAGAGAGAGAGAGAGAGAGAGAGAGAGAGAAAAGAAGGAAGAGGAGGAAGAGGAAGAGGAAGGAGAAGAAGAAGGGGAGGAGGAAGGGGAGGAGGAAGAGGAGGAAGAGGAGGAAGAGGAAGAGGAGAAGCAGCAGCAGCAAATGAGAAGATTTTTACTCCAATGAAAGATGGCTCAGTGGTTAAGAGCACTGATTGCTCTACCAGAGGTCCTGAGTTCAATTCCCAGCAACCACATGGTGGCTCACAGCCATCTGTAATGGGATCCTGTGCTCTCTTCTGTATATACAGAGCACTCATACATTTAAAAAATATACACTTAAATAAATGAACTAATAAAAAAAAGAGTAAAACAAAGTCTATGCATGATAGTGCATGCCTTTAATCCCAGTCTTTAAGGAGGGAGTCAGAGGCAGATGTTTGAAAACATCCTGGTCAAAATAAACAGTTCCAAGCTAGCCAGAGATACATAGTGAGACTGTCTCAAAACAAAATAAAAAAAGAGCAAATCACTAAATTTAAGTTTCTTCTAACTGGAATTAAGGCTTAAATATTTACCTCAAAAATCTCTTCCCTAGACACCTCAATGCGGCAGTGGCCAGCTTGAGGCTGCTGTTGGGAAAGTTCTTGCCGCAAGATTTTTAGTTTTTGAACCAAGTCTCGCTTGTACCTTGGCACTGTCAGACACTCAGTGTCATCGGGACACAACGACACCACTTGCTGTTGTTGTTGGTCTTTCAACTGGTTCTGACGACTGGAAATAAACAGAAATGTTACCAAAGTACTTTTAGAACATACAAGACTGCAATTCTACATTTAAATCAGCATCAGCCTATAAGAGAAATCTATCAATGTCTAAGCCTTATGAGGCAGAACTGGTTACTGAGGCTCTATTCATAAAGCCTTATGCAGATACTAAGAAGTCCTCAGATACCACTTCTTCCACATCATCCCATCACCTAATTTAAAGCTCGGGCCATGTGCCAAGCGCCCCGTCATCTAGAGTTTGTTTTTCTGGAAGAACCAAACAGAAGCCTAAACTGGCAGTTCAGTGGAGAACTTTCCTCCTACACCTGATTCTGTCTAAACCACAAAAATAAAAAGCCAGTGAAGCAGCCTGTCTCCTCAGCTATGCTAGGCATGTATGGGGTGGTTATATAAGCGATGATGTCAGGACTGGTCAGAAAACAGTGGAGATGCCAACTTGCTGCCTGCAAGGCCTCTGACAATGTTCAGAGTCCTTATCAAGCAAATTATTTTCTTGAAATAGGTAAGCCTGACAAACAGAAAAGATTCAGTAATCTTTGTTCATGGTTACTTTTAAAAGTTTCCTTTAATTATAAGGTAGAATTTCTTTCTTTCTTTCTTTCTTTTTTTTTTTTTTTTTTTTTTTGATTTTTCGAGACAGGGTTTCTCTGTGTAGCCCTGGCTGTCCTGGAGCTCACTCTGTAGACCAGGCTGGCCTCGGACTCAGAAATCCACCTGCCTCTGCCTCCCAAGTGCTGGGATTAAAGGCATGTGCCACCACCACCTGGCATAAGGTAGAATTTCTGTCATAGTATTAAAAACATCAGGCATAGTCATAAAGGGTGAAAACAGGCAAAGGAAGGGAGAAAAGGCCCTCCAGTCAGGCTGAGGACAAAGGCCAGCTGCAGCGCCTTTTATGTACCTCTGGGAAAGCTGAGGCTCCATTTTTCTTGCTGATGAAGTGAGGGCTAGATGTACAAAGTTGCTTTTCAAGCAAGATTCTTTTCTTCTTTTTGTAAAAGATGTATTTATTTTATGTATATAAGTAGCTGTCTTCAGAGAAACCACAAGAGGGCATCAGATCCTATTACAAACGGTTGTGAGCCATGTGGTTGCTGAGAATTGAACTCAGGCCCACTGGAAGAACATCCAGTGCTCTTAACTGAGCAATCTCTCCAGCTCCACAATATTCTTTTTCAAAAAGGGGATTTGGACAAAGGCTATGTATCCTTGGCTAGGTGACTTACTGAGTCCTAATGACAATATTTTGCAATAGTTTAATAATGTTGTATCCTGACATTTATAGATTATATGGTGAGGCCTTAAACATTGGAACAATTTAACTGCATTACATCAAAAATATCCCTTTACAGGGAGTAACCACAGTATCTCAGGAGGGACCCTAAAGGAGAGAACTGAGGGAGGTTCCAGTACCCAGAATACAACTGCAGGCTGCCCTCAACGTGCACACTACACACAAGCCTACTGCAGACTTCTGATAGCCAACTGCTCCCACTGCTTCTCTCAAAAAGTAATTCCCAACTCTTTTAGTATAATTCAAGACTGCACTCTAAAATTTAACTTGCCTACTCTATTTTTTTCTGGCTCAGATAATTGCCCTCTACATGATTTGTATAACAATCTACATTTCCCCCTCACTGCCTAAAATGTTGAAACAGGAAGAAACAAAACAAAACAAACAAACAAAAAACCCCTTAGAATCAAAGCAATCTATAAATGTTTGTTAAAGTTATATATAATCTATACATAAGAGCTCCATAAAAGTCATACTAATAGTTAAACTACAAGATTTTATTATTTGGATAACAGCCAAAGTATTTACTCCAAGAACATATTTTATCACAGAGATACTCACCCACCCTTCCTCTTTCCCTCTCTAACTGTATGGGTTTTAAAAATTATACAAAGGAATAAAAACCACATTACAAGCCAGGCATGGCACCCCATATAAGGGGCCAGGTCATCCTCTGCTACATAGTAAATTTAAGGTCACAGTGGGATCCTCTAAGACCCTGTCGATTTTATTTGTCACTGTTCAATGTTTATTTGGTGTTTTCATTGGCATGACACTTGAGTGGTAGGTTCTATCATCCATATGTAGATCATACATTTCACATAATATTGCAATGTACATTACAGACACATATCATACATAAAATATCCTGTAGAACACTTATGCACAAGATATGCATAATGGACTTACACAGGAGCCAGGTTATGACTACTGGGAACTCGTTGGCCTAGGCATGTTTGATGAGGGTGCACAGGGCAGCAAAGCATCAGGCTCCCAGGGTAAGACCCTGTCGATTGGGCTAGTGAGATGGCTCAGTGGTTAAGAGCACTGACTGCTCTTCCAGAGGTCCTGAGTTCAATTCCCAGCAACCACATGGTGGCTCACAACCATCTGTAATGGGATCTGATGCCCTCTTCTGGTGTGTTTGAAGACAGCTACAGTGTACTCATATACATAAAATAAATAAATCTTAAAAAAAAAAAAGATCCTGTCAATTAGTGCTATCAAATAAGGTAACAATAATTCAAGTCAGGCCTGGTGATGTAGGCTACCTAAGGCACAGGATCTCAAGTTCAAGGGCTGCTAAGGCCACAGAGTGAGTTCAGGACCAGCCTAGGCAACTCCATGATACCCTGTCTCAAAATAATACACACAAGAATAAGCTTACCACATGAATAGTTAGAAAAAGAAAATTAAAGACTCTAGCACTTGTGAAGCTGAGGTAGGAAAATAAAAAAGTTCAAAGGCAACCTAGATTATAAGACCAGTTTCAACAGACCTACATAACAAAGCTAAACCTTATCTCCAAATAAATTATCACAACAAAATACAATTTAAAATATCATGATAGGCCTGTTGTGGTGACATATGTCTTTGAAACCAGCACTCTCAGGAGGCAGAGGCAGGAGGATCTCTATAAGTTCAAAGCCAGCCTGGTCTACATAGTAAAACCCTGCCTCAAAATAAAACAAACAAACCCCACCAAAACAAAAAATATCATCACATTTGTAATTTTGATTCTTTTAGCTACTGAAAGGTTTTTTTTTTGTTGTTTTTTGTTTTTTTTTTTAGTATAGTTTCTTAAGAAGCAAGATGCACAACACACTAAACAGAACTACATGGGAAGATATGGTGTTAAGAAGACAAAACCAAGTTTTTAGGCCCATGCCTTTCCTGGGATATTACATAAGAAAATCAAGGCCAGGGAGGGTGAACAAACGGGTAAATAAAGTCAGTACCAAGGGTTCGCGAGTACTCACAGGATGTTAGTAACAGACTAAACTGACTTTACTACTCAGGAAAAATAAAAATACTTTATTACATTTATTTATTTATTTATTTATTTATTTATTTATTTATTTATTGCACAGCTATGCCATTGTGTCCACAGGGAGGTCAGAGGCCAACCTGCAGTTGGTTCTCTCCTTCTACCATGTGAGTCTCAGATAGCCAACTCAGACTTTGTGGCAAGCACCTTTACTCCAGTGACCCATCTCACGGCACTAAAAACATTTTATGATGCTTTGATTCTACCATTATGTTAGTGCCCCAGAGCAGTGTTAATCAAGGGATAGGCTACACACTGTATTATTCTGTTACCTAGGTTGTAGATTGTAATGTATAGATTAAAAGTCCATGGTTTCCTGCCATTTCTTCTAATGTTTGCAAATACTTTGGGATTTCATTTAAAACTGAGGTTTTAGCACCTAGTCACAATAAAAAGGTCTATCACCATAATGAGTCTGACAGGGCAATCATAAATATTCAAAGTGATGGGCATAGTGGTACATGCCTTTAATCCCAGCACTAGGAAAGCAGAGGCCAGTGGATTTCTGAGTTCAAAGTCAGTCTGGTCTACATAGTGAGTTCTAGAATAGCCAAATCAAGAAGACCCTGTTGCAGGTGGGGGATGGGGAAAGAGAAAACCCCCGTAAAAAATTTTCAAAGAAGCAACAAAAACACATATTACATGTTTTTTGTATTATTCTAAACAAGTGGTAGCTAGCTCTCGTTTAATTTACCCTATTGAATCTACCCCTAGACTGAATGAAGCAAGAATATTTCCCAAAGTCATCCCTGACCTCTATTACTTAGTTTTATTTTAACATTTAACACAGTATTTATTGCATACACTAATGAATGAAGAAAACAGAGCAGGTAGTATTTATTTAGAGACACTAAATTGAGTCACTCTGTGGATATGACAACTTTGTTGTCAGGATTCAAAGAAGCCATGGTCTGTTGTTCTACCACTACCCAAGTGTCTTTACCAGAACTGGTGACAAAGAAACACTGCTACTTTCCCGATGATGAAGCATCCTTTCCCCTTCCCTTTCCTCCCTTGCTTCCTCAGAAGGCAATGCCAGTAAGTAATGAGGTTAGCAGAAAACAGGCAACTAGAGAGAAAATCAAAGAAAAGGATGCAAATATGGTACAAAAACCATGCAGTACAGACATGATCAGAAACCAAAGGATGGACAGGTCTGAATCTAGTAGAACTTCACGCTGGGAAAATTACAGAAAGTCAACCTCTGCTTGTTCCCTCATCTGTAGAAATAAATATATTATTTACCAGGAAGAAACTGTTAATACATGCAAGGAACAAAGAACAACACTTTACACACAGAATGTGCTACTGAGATGGTTGTCAGTCACTATTATCAGGTGTATGGATTGAATGGCAGCACAGGATCAGCCTGCTCAGTCTCAGCTCCTGGTCAAGCTACGGCCTCTGTAACCGGCCTTCTTGCCCAAGCACCTCTCACGCACACCTCTTCCTAACAGTTAGTACTGGCTCCTGTTTAAGCAGAGTAAGTAAGATATGTTCTACTTCAAAGTAAAATATCTCATTTTCTTTCATACACTCTGATCAGTAAAAGTAAATTATAGCTAGGCATGGTGGCTCATGTCTACAATCCAAACACTGAAGAAGCAGAGGCAGGAAGAGCTGCTAGGCTACACTAGTAATTCAAGGCCAGCCTGGACTATCCCTTGAGAACTCATCATAAATATAAATCAATATTGTAAATTTAAGAGAGTCCATATTCTTTCACATTATAAAAAGCACATATATGTCCTCTTGTTTAGAACAATATTTTCACATGTACTGCTTTAAAACTTACTTTAAAACTAAATGCAAGTTAGCAGAGAGCCGGGGATCTGTAAATTGTGTTGTTCGGTTGTTATGGTCAACGAAATAAACTCTTCCTGTTGCGGTATTGCGAATCTCCCATCCAGGAGGCAAAGGACCGAGCTCTTCACAATTGATGTTGCTAAGATCCCTGCAAAACAAATATACAACAGAAATACCTCATTACTGGGCTTGCTGACCCAAGCAAGTGTATGTAACACAGAACAATTCCATGAAGTCTGAGAAAATGTATTGTTTCAGAAACTTGAGATGCTCAGCTGGAATCTTTAATTCCCAATGGCTTCCCATTCAACACCCAATCCCTAAATAGCTCAGAACTTATCACACAGTCTGGCTTTTAGTAAGTTCCTAGGCTTTAATGGAATACACATTTTAAATTCATACAGAGCAATCACACTACTTGCCAACATAAACTACACTTCAAATTTGTTTGACAGAAAGTATTGTTTTATAAGCATCAATAATATAAGAAATTTCTATTCATTATTTTCTTTCCTTACTATATCATAAAGTTGGTGTAAACAAATGTGCATGCAATGAGTGATTGTATGTTCTCCAACAAAGCAAAACTGGAAACATTACTAAAATCCTGATCCTGGAAATAATCATAACATTTTTTTAAACAAAATAACTATGTTGTTTTAAATTTTGAAGTCTATAAACTTCATGAAGACAAACCTGGTAAGGATACTTAAGAAAAGCTCAAGTATTTTTAACAGACAAGGACCACTGTTACTGTATCACACACTGTAAGGATGTACAGGATCATACAGAACACAGCTGAACACACTGAGGTGGTTGGTGGGCTAGGGTGCCCTCCCCAATCTTGTCCAGCACTGCAGATTTTCATCCTCTGTCCTGCTATATCACCACCTTCTACAGGAAGAGACCATCCCATCCAGAGTGTCCAAGTTACTGGAGGCTGCTGGCAAAGATGTACAGTGTCCACTGAGGCCATTTCCAGCTCTTGGAGATTTCTTCAAATAGTGATTCCGTTTTCTGCTTAAAATGATCCTGGACATTCCTCTGCTGCAGAACAACTAAAGCTTGAAAACCACTACAGAAGAGGCAAAGCAAAGCTCTGCGAACCCTCAATTCATAACAAGAAAGAACTGACTTGGTTCTGTTCAACAGAGAACTGACTCCTTGCTGGATCCCTCATGTGGAACTTGAGTGGCAGCTGGGGAGGTGGAGGTCAGCACCAAGACTAGGGAAGAAGTCCTAGCACTTCTCAAGCTGAGTGCTCAAAAGGGTGAGGCAATTCTAGAAGAACTTCCCAAATTCCCATCTTAGGTCCAAAAAATGCCAACTAATAAAGATCAAGTAACACACCAGGTATGGTGGCATATAACAGTAATCCCAGCACTCAGTCTGAGGAAATAGGAATAGCAAGTTCAAGCACAGCCTGAGCTATATACCAAGATTGTGTCATCTAAAAAAACAAAACAAAATAAAACAAACCACACACACACCTTTAAACCCAGCAGAAGCAGGTGAATTTCTGTGTATTCTATGTCAACCAGAGCTACATAATGAACCTACCTCAAAATCAAGCAAAACAATATAACATAACACACCAAATTCAAGAAAGAACCTTACACAGCCTAAGGTCAATAAAGACTTTAGAAGTGACCACATTGTGATAGCTACTATAAACAGTAAGCCACAGAATTAGAGCTCTAACTAAAAGAAACCATAAAGAGAATATAGGGTATGATGTTTAAGATGGTTATACAAGGGCTGGAGAGATGGCTTAGTGGTTAAGTTACACTGGGGGCTCTCCCAATGGAACTGGGTTTGACCCCCAGCTCCTACATGGTAGGTAGCTCACAACCATCTGTAATGTCAGTTCTAGGGAATCCAATCCCTTCTCTGGCCTCTATGGGCACCAGACATGCATGTGGTACACAGATATACATGCAGGCAAAACAAAAAAAAATCATTTTCACAAAATGAATAAAAATTTAAAAACAAACTATCTGGTATAAAAATGATATATGAACAACAGGAGATAAAAGCTAAACAATAAAGTGCATGCTTTGCATGTACAAGCCCTGGGTTTGAACTCTAGCACTGCAGATTTAAAAGGAACATAAAAATAACAAAAGAGGCATATAATTGCACAAAATTGTTATCGAGAAAAGATTATTTAAAAGGAACAAGTGGCTTTTCTTAGATCAAACTTTTAGTGGTAGAAAACAATTACAAAAACCAAAGGACAATTCTACTATTGATATAATATAGAATTTACATATTTACATTTTATATTTTAAAATTTATATAATTTTACTTAGCATGTATAAATCTACAGTGACAATTAAAAGTATCAATTAAAAGAATAAAACATCAGAAATGATTTTTATGTTCAAGTGGAGAAAAATTAATTAAAAATGAAAAGTTGGACAGCTTTATACAAAACAATACAAGTCTACATTTCAAGACTTCAGTCAGTATGGAACAGAATGAACTACAGGAATTAAAGAGAGCTACAAACCATTACCACATAGGACTTCTAAGACACTGGCTATTGGAGGACTGTGGGCATCTTTAAGCAGAGCTAAGCTGGATACACTACACAGACAAGCTCTTTTTCTTCTTCTTCCTCCTTTTGTTTTTGTTATGGTTTGGTTTTTTGAGACAGGGTTTCTCTGTGTAGTCCTGGCTGTACAGGAACTCCACTAGTAGACCAGGCTGCCCTTAAACTCAGAGTTCCATCATAGACAAGCTCTTTAAAGAAGCCCACTATACTTCTTTACTGGTGTCTTTAAAGAGACTCAGCAGAGTTATCCAGGGTTTTTAATGCCTGATTTAAGCATATAAAACGGAAAATAACCTCCCTTAAAAGAGACCCATTTGCTGAACGATGCTCCAAATCAAAAGACAAACTACAACTTTTAAAGATAATTGGGGCATATAGACAAAGAAAAATAATACAGGGCATTGTTAATTTAATGTCTTATTCAAACATAGATGTCATTGCTCCACATAAAACCTGTGCTGTTACTTGAGACAGACTCTCACTATGTTTGCTAGGCTGGCCTAAAGCTTTCTTTCAGTGAACTTAAAAATAAAAATAATAAAACTCCTCCTCGACTACTGTTTTTTAAAAATTATTCGTTTTATTAAGAGAGAGGGAGAGAGGAGAGAACACTACAATTGTGGAGACACAGAAATGGCAAACTTGGTAGACTAATTAATGACAGCACATTTTCTGGGTTGTCACCCTCAAAAGCTTCTAATGCTAAACTCTCTAACAAAGTAAAATGTTTTCATTATAGTTATTTTATTTTTAAGACACAGTATCAAAGCAACCCCAGCCCAGTCAGTCCCATCTGTTTTTGATTCAACTACATAAAAGAGGTTTGGATATAAGCTTTAGGAAGATTTCTTGATCTCCCTGCTTCCCCCACAAACAGTTTGCCTTGTTTTTTGGATCTGACTGGTATATCGTGTATAAAACCTCATTACATAAATGTGTACACCACAAAATTGATTCCAATTAAAATGCAAGGTTTTTTTGTAGATTTGGCTAGACTTCTTGGTACTTAGTATACAGCTCACTAAAAAATAACTCAAAATAACTAATGTCTGAAAACCTCATTATTTGCAATAATAAAAGTACTCAAAATTATAATAGCTCACTGGGCAGTGTGGGCACTCAGGAGACTGAGGGAGAAACACTTTAGTAGAGGAGCTCATGACTAGCCTAAGTAAAACCAAGGAGCACATCTCAGAACACCAATAGTTAAGGTGGTAAACGGCAGTGACTATGCACCATCCTCCCTTCATTCTTCCTGCCTCAGCCTTTCAAGCGCTAGCATTGCACTGTATTACACTGTATTACACTGCATTACACTGCATGTGATGACGATGTGCAGCGTCTATTGCTTTCCCCGTCCCCACTGCTCTTTCCATCCCCACTGCCCTTTTTTTAAAAGGGTATGCTTGTATGCTGTTCCTGACATTACTTTTTCAGAGTCTACAGATACATATTTTGCTCCACACTTTTTAGCAGGGGTGCTGAAGAGAAAGGAGTCCAAGACTAGCAGGGAGCTAGGGTCAGACCATAGATAGTATCGAGACTTCTAAGTGTCAAGTTCAAACACTATCAGGAGGAACCAAACTTTTATATAAACTGCTTTTAGTAGTTAATTTTTATTTATTTGTTTCTTTTGTTTATAGCCCTGTCTCACTAGAAGTTAATTATTTTTAAATGAGAAAAATCCTGGGTGAAATGGATAGTCATGGTTGGTGTGCTGAGGACTTAAGGACCAAGAACAGTAGCTCACACCTTTAATCCCAGCACTTAGGTGGTGGATCTTTATGAGTTTGAGGCCGGTGTGGTCTACATAAGAAGTCCAGGCCGGTCAGAGCTACAGAGTAAGATCTAGTCTCAAAAAAACAAAAAACAAAAAACAAACAAACCAAAAACAAAAACCAGTAATATTTAAGATATGGTCTTACCTAGGCACTCGTGGATCATGCCACGTGCTCACACCCGTCTGAGTATGTAAGAAATATACCTGACCCTGCTGCGTTGTCCTCTGTTCTGTAAAATAAAGAAATAGTGAAAACATACTCAGTTTTTCATATTCAATCAAACACCATTACAATGGATAATAAATACTCTAATAGGATTAAAAATCTCCCAATCTCAAAATTGCCAGTTTATTTTCTAAGCAAAAAAAAAAAAAAAAAAAAAAGCTTCATAAATTATTTATTCAGACAGCAGATCTCTGAGTTTTGAGGCAGGCCTGGTTTACATAGTGAGTTCTAAGACAATCAGGACTACTTAGTAAGACCTGTCTCAAAACAAAATAAATCATTTGTTCAATCTCTGGAAACAATTTTATAAATGGAGGTGTGGTATATAGTCAGTACCCCAAAAGCAAACAGATAACTCAGAGAAAGAGGCTAGCCACTTTAAAGAATGTTTCAACAGAGCTTTTTAAAATTTTTGAAATACTTTTAGGCTAATGATTTTTTTTTTTTTTTTACTATGGCAATTTTATACCCAAATTTGTGATTTCTCTTTTCTTAACAAAGATATATCAAGATTCTTCCTGGACTGCAAGCAAGGTGTCACAAACTTGCAATCTCAGCATGCAGGAGGCAGAGGCAGTGAGATAACAAGTCCAAGTCTAGCCTGGACTACCTGTCAAAACTCCAGGCTATCTAGGGTATAAAATAGAGACCCTAGTGTAAACAAAACACATCACATAGTCATAAAACTCATTTAAAAAGCACAATGGAAATTCATGCACTGAGGGGAGAAAAAAAAAATTATGATGAGCTCAAAGCCTGGAAGGACGTAGAGAAGCTGAGGTGAAAAGACAGTAAAAGAGCTTCTTCAAGTGTTACGTTTCAGTTGTTGTCTTTTGCATGGAAACTCATTTTAACAAAACACAATGAGAATGTCAATGTATAAGATAATAAAGCCACTGCTGACACCACAGCATACTGTATCTATAGATCTGCAATGAAGTCAATGAACAAGTTCCACCTAAGGACAGCTTCAAGGGCCAGAAGAAGTTCACTGACAATTTACCTGCCTTCAATCCCAAACACTAAGAAAAAACCCAAAACTGACAACAGCTGCAATAATTTCAGGCTCGGTAGCTACTTTACTTCCATTTTATTCTTTTTTTTTTTTTTTCAGGTTTTTCGAGACAGGGTTTCTCTATGCAGCCCTGGCTGTCCTGGAACTCACTCTGTAGACCAGGCTGGACTCAAACTCAGAAATCCATCTGCCTTTGCCTCCCAAGTGCTGGGATTAAAGGCATGCGCCATCACTGCCTGGCCCCATTTTATTCTTATAAAAGAACATCTGAACTCAAATCACACATGGTAGAAATATAACTACCCTTTATTCCAAATAACCTGGCTGAAAAACTCCACAGAAATTAACACTTTCTTTTTATGTCAAACATAGGTACTGCATTGGAGATTATATGTCATTTCTTGCAACAAACCTACATGGTTGTTACTATTATTCCTCACATTTTACAGAGGCTAAATCTAGGTTCTCAGAGGTTAAATAACATGATTGGTGTCAAGGCAAAGGCAGGTCCGTTTCCCATGCTGGAATTGCTCACTGCACGGCAAGCCAACTGATGGGACATAGCAGTGAGATGAAACTTTTTTCAAAATAAGAGGCTAAAATTTATTTTAAAAATAAAACTATAATTATTTGTTTGCAAAATAGTTTTTATATAAATTCTACAGTAAGAGTAAAATTACTTACAAAATGTAATTCCCAATCTTGGTCATTAGGTGTCACTATCATAACATCTATAGTATTACGCAGAAAAGGAAGTCGGTATCTGTCCCAAAAATCACACTAGAGGTCTAAGATGAGCCTGTACAATAGCACTGCTATTCCTTTGTATAGTGTCTGCTTGCAAAGTAGTCTCATTTCATTCCATAAGCTTTCTACAATAACTGTGTGATTTGTATCTACCACATTTTATTATAGATGAGCATACAGGCTAAGGTTCATAAACCTTCACTAACTGTTGCTTAGAGAGCCTTCTAATCATTACAGACTTTTTAAAATTGGAGATTATACTTACTTTCACATAGAATCCCTAAACCTTGATGAACCCCCCTCCACTGTCTAGTGTGGTATGTTTCTCCTATGATCATTTCACAGATGAACACAGGGCCTTGATCAGGTTAGCATCCCCAGGCCTAATTAACTTTCAGATGTTAGTATTCTAAAGTACAGTGTGGTGGCACACACTTATAACCCCACTGTGTGGTGAGTGGGCAGAGAAAGGAATACCAGGAGTTCAAGGGCACTGTGAGGCAGCCTGGACTGTAAAGACCATATCTCAAAACAGACAACAATTTTTTAAAAAGTTAGTTCCCTAGCTGAGCGGCGGTGGCTCACACCTTTAATCCAAGCACTCAGGAGGCAGAGCCAGGCAGATCTCTGAGTTGGAGGTCAGCCTGGTCTACAGAGAGAGTTCCAGGACAATCAAGGCAACACAGAGAAATCCTGTCTCAAACAAAAAAAAAAGAAAGAAACCCAAATAGTTCTCTGAGGTTCTTAAAGCAAGGTGACTGTCCCCCTGTTGTTGCCGTACCGTAGCCTTCTGGCAGGTCTGGGGGAGTGTGCAAGTGTGTCCTGCTCATGTAATTTCTATGTCGCTGGGACCTGACTCTTCTCTCTGCTAGTCTGGGGTCTGAAGACTGTCCACACGTTGCACCATTTGTTCCAGTAATTGGAGTATTCTCATCCACAAAGCAGCTAAGAGGCCTGCCAGGACTAGAATATTCTGACGCCGGTCTATTGAAAAGTGACAAGGGAAAAAAGTCACCAATTTAGAAAGCAAAACCAGAGGTCTCTAGACAATATATACACTATAGTGAAAATATAGTAAATCAGGCAAGAAAACGAGATGAATTAAAAAAAAAACACAATTTCAATTAAGTTTTTAAAATATCCATACATTCTCGTACGTGTGCTAATTGGTCACTTAAGCACAGGACTTAGACCTGATTTCCACCATTTTCCCTCCCACAGGACTTTTCACCTCTACTCCTTTAATTTGCCCAAGTCATGTGACCTTTAGTCCTCAGAAACAGTACCTCTTGTTAGGTATGGCTCTCTGTCACTCAAAACAGTTTATGCTTAACATTGATCTTCTAATGCAAAGAACTCGCCCTACAATTTGTCAGCAAACAGTTCCCAACTTATAATGGTACAACTTAGAAGTTTTGTTGGTTTTATTTTTTTGGGAAAAGAACACACTCTAGTCCAGGCTGGCTATGATTCACAGCAATCCATCGGCCTCAGCCTCTGAGAGCCAGGGCCATAGGCATGAGCCACCACATACAGCTCTCAATTGGTCATTTCTTGACCTTATAATAGTCAAAAGCCATTAGCAGTTAGTCAAAAGTGTACTTTAAAATTTTGTTTTTCAGGGCTAGTGAGTGATAGATATACATGGTATAGAGATCATCAAACTACTAGGTAACAGCAGCAAGCTACAGCTCCAGTCAACTTCCTCATCAGGAGGGTAAGTAACGGCTATTCTATAGCATACCTCATTGTTAAGCTACATGTAATAAAATATGCATATTAAACATAATGTTTTCACTTTTAACTTCATTGGACAGAATCCCAATCATTAAGTCAAGAAGCACTGTACACTGCCTTAGTTCCTCAATGCAGCAATAAGTTATCTCTGGTATTTATTTACATTTGTATTTTTGTTCACTGTCCTCTACATATTCCTAGAAGGAGGGAAGTTTAGGTGGCTTATTCTCTATTACAATAGCCATATCAGGAGCTAGGAAAATAAGGAGAGGTAGGAGCTATGGAGAACCATGCTTGTGTCCAGGACGGTCCTGGGTAAAGACTTATATCATAGAGTTAGATACTGGGTTACAACTCCAATTGTATGGGCATCTTATTTATCGAGCATTTCTAATTATATAAAGCCTTTGGACAATATTAAAAAAATAATAGCCATACCACTCTGTTATTAACAAGTAAGGAGTAATAAATAGTACCTTAATAAGTGTTATCAAATAAAGAAGCTAATCTGTCTCATCAAGGAATTTCTGTTCTCTAAAGTAACCTTCAAAAACAACTGGTTTTGTTCCTGCTTTGATAGCATTAGGTAGGAAACCTAGGGTGACACTGAGGCTAGGAAAGTTCTCTACCACTGAGCTGTATTTCCAGCCCAAAAATTCATTTTCTTTCTTTTTTTTTGATGCAGAGTCTCACTTCCTAGCAATTCTCCTGCTTCAGCCTCCTGGGCAATGGGATTGGAAGTGTAAGCCATCACACCTAAATTAAAAGCTCTTTTTTAAAATACCCATCTCTATGTGGGTATTTTGTCAGTATGTGTGCATCATATGAGTGTTTAGTCCCTTGCCAGAAGAGGACATCAGATGCCCTGGGACTGGAGATACAGACAACCATACACCACCACGTAGATGCTGGGAATCAGACTTGAGTCCTCTGTAAGAGCAGCTAGTGCGTTTACCTATCAAAACTCTCTCCAGCCCCAAAAGCTCAATTTCAAACTATTATTTTATTAAGAGGAAAAAAAGCTTTACGTACATGTGGAAATTAAAGATGAGTTAAAGGAAAGCAGGCTTCACTTAAACACTGACATTAAGTATAAATTCATCTATGCTGTTATAATAAAAATAGGTTCGTCAGCTTAACTGGTACCTTAGGCAGCTTGTATGAGAAACAAATGTAACTTTGAACTGAGGATTTTTTTTTAAAAAAGGATACAATAGTTCATGACACCTCAGCCTAAACAAAGAAATGGAGGCAACTAATGAATGCTGATAGCAGGAGAAATAGTCTTCCCTAGGGAAGAACATATCAGTTGGCTATCTATTACCAAATAGTCAGTCTTAAAAACATGCATACAAATAACAGTATATGGACTGAGTAAGTTGTATTTTTCTATTTAGGAGTATATACATACATACATATATATATATATATATATATAT